CGCCACGTACGAAGGCGCTGTCCGGTGGGTCAAGCGTGTCGCTCCTCCGGCTTTCTTGCTCTCAGCCGCCGACGGCTCGGTGGTCTCTGGTCGGGCCAACGGGGCGCGGGCCCTCGCTGACGGTTGGCGCGACCTCTTCTGTGGCCCCCCGGTTATGTGCCCCGCGTTGCGGACTTCCTGCAGGAGTACGACGCGGAGCTCCCCATGCTGCCTCCGGTCGCTCTGCCGCCTCTCACTGTCGATCTGCTGCGTTCGTGCACCCGTGGCATGCTCCGGACCGCGGCTGGTCCCGACAACTGGTGTGCCTCCACGCTGTTGGCTCCCCCGTCCCCCGCCTGGGACGCTCTCACCGAGCTCTTCGCGGTCATCGAGGCGCAGGGCCGTTGGCCTCTCCCGCTCCTGTGCTGGCGTATCTCCTTCCTGCCGAAGGCTGCTTCCGCTGCGCTTGGCTCCGGTCCGTGTGCTGTCACGGCCGTGCGGCCTATCTCGGTCGGCTCGGTGTTGTTCCGTGCTTGGAGCAAAGCCCGCCTCGGGCAGATGCGCCCGGCCTGGCGCAATTTGCTGCACCCCCTGCATGTCAGTGGCACCGCTGGCACGCTCGATGCCGAGTCCCTCGTGGTTGCGCTTGGCATCGAGGCCGCTTCTCTTCCCGTCGGTGCTTCATTGGACTTTGCGAAGGCCTTTGACTCCACCGATGCGGTCACGGCTTTGGCTTGCATGCGCCGCGCCGGCCTTCCCCCTGGCGTCGCCGGCGCTCTCGGTCACATGTGGGCTCAGCAGCGGAGGTTCGTCTCTTTCGGTGGTGTTCTCTCCTCTGCTCCCATCACCGGCGTGCGTGCCCTCGCCCAAGGCGACCCCTGGTCGCCCGTCGCTCTCGGCATCCTCCTTTGCGGTGTTCAGCGCCGCATCGTTCAGGCCATTCCTGGCTGCGTCCCTGGTCTCTACATTGACGATCGCACCGCTTTCTTTCGGTGCGTCGGCGATCTGCAGAACTACTTGCAGCATTGGCAGGCGTTCGAGGGGTTCGGCAGGCTTCGCACCCACCCGGGTAAGTCTCAGTTCTTCGGTCGCTCCGCTGCCGCGCAGCGCGCCTTGGCTGCCGCTGGCTTTCCGGCTTCCTCCACCTTGACTGCCCTCGGGTGCTCCTTCGCTTGCGGTCCTGGCCAGTCTCCCGCCCAGCTTGCGCGCGCTGCTGCCGCTGATCGAGTCGCCCTGCGGGCCGGCGCTCTGCAGGCCTCTCTCAAGATCAAGCAGCGGATCGCCGCTACCGTTGTCGCTGCGAAGGCCGTCTGGGGCTGCTTCCTTGGCGGTCGTGCTCCTCGCGCTGTCGATATTCAGGCCCACTATCGGCGGTGTGCCACTGCCACTCATGGCGCTGCCTTCTCCCGCGGCAGAGCTTCGCCTCATCTCCGCAGGGTCCTGGAGCTTGGTCACACTTCTGACTTGGCTTTCTTCGGTGCCTGTCGCGCTCTCTCGGCCATCGCGCGCTGGCATTCGGTTCGGGCTGCTGCTTCCGGTCTCGACTGGTCCTCTGGCTTTCGCGGCCTTCTCCGGCCGTGGCTTTCGCGGTGGGGCTGGTCCGTTCACCTTGGCGGCGCTCGTCCTCCTGGTGGCGGCACTGGCTTTTCCTTCTCGGATCGTCTTGCTGGTCGCGCCGCTGCCCTGCATGACCTCCGTCAGTCTTGGCGCGTCTGTCAGTTTCGGCTCTGGCTCGCTTCCTCGCGCCGCGACGCTGTCGCTGCGCGCGCCGAGGGCCTGGTGGTCTCTTCTGGCTTGGTCTCCTCTCTGCGGTCCGTCGCGGCTCGTGCCTCCGGCCATGCCGTCGGTGTCATGACTGGCGGCACCCTGTCTGATGCTGCTTGGACCCCGTCCGGCCCTCTCCGGCAGTCCTGTCAGGCCTGCGGTCTTTTGGTCTTTGCGAGCGTCGAGCACCTGTTCTGGCAGTGCTCGGCGTACGACTCTCTCCGCTCGCCCCCGGCGCTCCCTCTTGCCCGGCGGCTCGGGTGGTCCTCCCCCCTTGACCCCACTCCCGCTCTCTTGCTCCGGCTTGAGCAGATGGCCGCCATTCGGCGCGCCGATGTCCTTGGCCGCAGGGCCCGCCCCGCCTGGGCTCCTCCTGCGCCCCCCGCCCCTCCCCCCCCGCCCGAGCCCGGTGGTGGTGGCCTGCCTCCCCCCGCCCCTCCCCCCCCGCCCGAGCCCGGTGGTGGTGGCCTCCCTCCCCCCGCCCCTCCCCCCCCGCCCGCGCCCGCGCTCGGTGGTGGTGGCCTGCCCCCCCCCCTGCCTGCCGCTGCCGCTTAGCGGCCCCCCCGCCCGTGCCTCTGGGCCTGTGTCAGCCCGTGGTACTTTCCCCTCCCCCAACAACCGAGCTTACCTTCTCGCCGAAATGGCCAGGGGTCACATTCTTCGATCCCAAGGTACCTGGATCGCCAGTGGTGTTTTTTTCTTCTTCTTTTCCCATGCACGTTACCCCAAAAACCGATCGCAACAGTGACTGAAAGAAAAAAAGCGATCGCAGCTTGGCTATCTAGGTAGACTGAAACCCAGTGGCTTCCCTTCAAAAGAACTCCGAGGTGGTCACCCAAAGCTTGGCTGGTTCGACCATTTGCCTTCAAGGTCGATGGACTGAGGGAGCAACAGAAGGAGCAATGGGTGGCTCGTCTTGCCACAAATGGCTTCGGTGGTCCTTTGGATACGTATTAAAAAAGCCAAGCCCGAAAGGGAATCCTCCAATCCACTAACATGGACTGACGTTTCGGGGTCCTGGTTTGGACCCCATTCTTGTTTTGCAAGGGGAGGTTTTGGTGGGCCACCCATGTCAGACAAGGAGGGAGTCATGTTGGTACCAGCAGTCAACGGTTTCGGGTACTAAGACAGTCCCTGATGGCTGGACCTGAGGTGGAAGCTCCCAGCTGAGCTTACAGTCTCAAGAGACATGTGATACCTGATATGGACCATATGTTTTAATGGTCTGGACCATAAGAGGGTTCCTCCAAAGCGGTCACAGGCTGTGAACAACCTGGAGGCGAAAGCTGCGTCACACGTGTTTTGCCCCGGCTTTCATCTAAAGTTATGTAACTTTTTCAACTTTTGTTTGTGTCATACAGCCTAGCAACAAACAGCAAGAAAAGCACACAAAGTACCAGGTTCTTTTACCAGCCGGTTTCTTCCAAAACGACCTGCCCCTCAGATCAGCTGGGACGAGTTCGAGGCGAACCTAGCGACCCCGGAGATGGAGGACGCTTGGCTTGCTCGGGCTTCGAAGCGGATCGGATCTTTCCTCCGCCCTGCGGAGGGTTGCGAAATCCAGAGATCGCGCCGCCTGAGAACCACAGCGTTGGTTGGGAAATACAGGGTAATCATATCATCTTCGGGTTTCCCTTTTTGGAGGCACACCACGTCCAAAGAGAAACCGCCCTTTTCGGGCGCCTTGACATGGTTTGTCTTCAAGGGCCTCCAAAATGCTGTCCCTACGCTTCCATTTGGTTAAGAGTAATTTTTGTTTTCCCCCTGTTGGTTTTAAAGGGAATCTATCACTACTGGATATATACTATATATATATATATACATTTTTTTCCAGGGGTCTGAAGCAAATGGAAGTACGTGGGAATTGTTCTTCTTCTTATTACTTTCATGAGGGCGCCCATTTTACCGTGTTGTTTCGAAGAGAAACCAAGGGAGAACTACCGTCTTCCGGCTATGGGCTCCCCTATTCGACAAATACCTAAATGTTATTTTTTTCACAGGTAAGCAACGCCTTTTCGGCCCGGTGCGCTTACCTCAGAAGGTGATGGTTTTGAGGGAAATGAAGGGAGGATCTGCCGCTTTTGTTTTCCTGCACATGCATACAGGGAGCCTATTCTGGGAGGTTGGTACTCATGGTGGACCTGATGTTTCTATTTGAGTTTGTGTTGTTTGGAGTTGGTACTCTTTGCAGGCTGGTTCAACAAGTTTTGACGCATTGGGTCGGAGTTGCATGGCCGTCGGTGTCTGCGGCAATGTTCTGGACAATTTATCTGGCTGGCTTGAAGGGATGAGCAAACGAGCGGGATGATCTTTTGTCCACTGTCGAGCAAACGAGCAAACGAGCGGAACGGAGGTTTCCAATCACCAGTCGCGTTTCCTTTTGCCCGAACTGCCGACTTGTTTGCTGGTTCAAGCGCTTGACTTCCGCCGTTGAGGCCTACCTCAAGGCCTTTGACATGGACCCGAACCAGGCATGGCTGCTGGGCTGCTGTCGCACGACCCACGACCCAGATTCAGAAGCTGGAAGGTGGTATGTGGCCTGTATTTTGCAACAACCCCTTTCCAATCGTCCAATCGCTAGGGGCACTACTTGCGGCTTTGTGTAACCTCAAGCTTGGCTGGATTGTGTGGAAAGCTCGGATGACGCGCAACTGCCCCCGTTTTTTTTCTTTTTGTCAAGCGGATTGTCACCGTCTCAGCAAAGTCAGCGCATCCGATCGCTTGCAGTGGTGATGTTAGGAGTAGCCTCTGGTGACAGGTTCTCATCCTAGGATCCCGGGATCGTTCGAGAAAGTTGGCCTCCAGAAAATCCCAGGGTTCGGGAAACCGGCGACGTCCGAAATCCGCACCAGACCAGACCTTTGGTGGCAAGCGGAGATGGTTCTTTCGGTGGTGTTTTTTTTCCCGGCCGCCACTAGTTTGGCGACCGCAGAAGATTGCAATCCACTGCGCAACATATGCGCGTGGGCGAGAGCATGGCATTTGCTTCAGGGGTGGTCTTGGAAGACATGAGTCACGTCAATGATCAATTGAAGCAGGCCTCGCGGCTCACAAGGTTGGTCATTTGTGTGCCATTTCGTTTGCTTGGAAGTGGCGTTGGCACGTTCAGTTTTTTTTTTCACGTTGTCTTGGATCATTGCACAGGGTTTTTTGCAACATGTTCATGGTTGTTGTTGGGAAACGTTTTACATTTTGGCTTGTTCTGGTTTAGTGGTTGAAATCCAACCACTGAACTGCGATTCCTTTCCATTTTTTTCTCCCTGTCCAACGTCCACCAAGTATTTGTCCCAAGCAGAGTTGGTGTTGGTCGTTTCGTCGCAAGCAAGCCCTTGAACCCCACCCCTCCAAGCCGCTTCTTGCCCTCGTGGAATCGAAGTAGGGAAGCCCGCATCCTCCTGTTTCATTGGCTGCGGGGGTTTGCGCGCAGGGATCGCCCTATCACAAATGCAGGACACCTCGCGGGCGCGCATTTTTTTTTAAGGCAACGGACAAATACATGCTCCATCTTGGGAGGGGCGTTGGTTAAAAGGCTTTTGCCTTTTGCGACATCCTTTTTCATGCCCGTGCGTTTGCGTTGTAAACAAATGATAATTTGGGTACCCCACTAACCCCTCTGAATTATTCACCTCTCGTACTTCCCGGCAGAGCGTGTCCATTGCGCCACGCTGTTTGCAGGCCAGGGACATCTTCTATGCAGCTCGGCATACGCCCGCTCAATGTTGACTGGCTGGTGAATAGATGTCCCAGTTGTTATTAATCAAAGCGGTTCCTTTTTGTGCGGAGCTTCATTTCTTTGCAGTTGCCGAAACACCCCGTTCCGTGGTAACCTTGAGTTATTCTGTCAGGCGGGGCTTCTGGTTCAACTTAGAGCCCCCCAAAGTTGTGGGAACGTTGTGGGCGTTTTCGGAGCGCGAACCCCTGACGAGCTCAAATGGAAGCAAGCCTTCGGTGCGGTCAGGGAGGTAGGGTGGGCGCTTTGCCCAACCAAGGCCGGTTTCAGCAGCGCCAGGGTCCGGGTGTTGCCAATGGCTCCTCCTTTTCAGGCTCGGTGCTTTTTTTTTGGAGTAAAGGAACAACCACCCAACACGGCGTGTAAGCACAAAACCTGATGGGCGCCTCAGCTTCTTGCGCTTGAATTTGCAACTCCCCCCATGAAAATGTGTGATTTGATGTGGGTCTTTCATTTCAGGCTTGGTACTCTTTTTGCGGTAAAGGAAAACCATTTCGAAAAACCGAACACACCCATTTCGGGATCCCGGTTTCCGGTTCCATTTTAGACGAGCCAAACGTTTCCATTTGCCGGGTTCCACTTTGGGTACCGGGTAGCTATTTGTCAGATCGAAGCATGTGAGAAGGGTATGGGTCAAACTTCAAGCACCAGGAGCTCCGCGGATTTTTTTCTTTTCTTTTTTTCCAGGGTTCCATTTGGGGGTTGTTTTGACCATGGGTAACTTTTTCCCATGTCTCTATGTCGACATATCATCTTTTCGTGGTTTCCCACAATGGTCCCATGTATCACGGAGCTTTTGATGCACCCCCCTATATGGGTCTCTCCAGCTTTCAGGTTGGAGCCCCCCCAAAAATCTCGTCGGTTTGACTATTGCCTAGCCAAGTTGCGATCGCTTTTTTTAGTCACTGTTGCGATCGGTTTTTGGGGGTGTTTCGTGCATGGAAAAAGAGGAAGGATCCCAGGATCGCCACTGGATCGCTCCAGGTGGTTTCCAGGTGACGAAAGCCAGCGATCTCGAGATCCATTTCGGTGTTGCTCTTGGTTTCCTGTAAAACTGAGTTGGACCCCCCAAAATGGCTTCGGCTCTCTTGGCTTCCCGTACCCGCCGAGAAAAGACGGCTGCGGCCGCGGCGCACGCCCGGCGACCTCCTCCTCGACCGCCCCCGCGATCGATCGAGCGCGAAGACGATCGAGCCGAGGTGCTGGACCGGAACGACTCGGGCACCGTGAGCCTGGAGGCGGCCGCACGTCGGGGCGTGGGGCGACGAAGAACCCGGGGAGGGTCTGGGGGGGGGGAGGGATGCCCAGGGTGTGGGGGGGGGGGGGGAGGGTGCCCGGGGCGCCGTTTTTTTTTTTTTTTTTTTTTGGGGTGGGGTTGGGGTAGAGGCAATATTCTGGGACCTACAAGGTGGGTTTCCTGATGAAAGTTTTTGTTGTAACAACAAGAAACCAAGCAAAGGGGCTGTCGGATTGTGTTTGGCAGCTAAACTGAAGTCGCTTGCCCTTGGGCGGATCAACTTTTTGACCTTTTGATATTCCTGATGTGGTGTATCCCTGATGTGGTGCATATTTTGTCAAGGTTGCAAAAGGTTAGCCTTGTATCTCCAGGTTCGTTGGGCAAGTGAGTTAGCATCCAGTACACTAGAAGGAGGTTGCAAAACAGACACCTTCAGTGTCCAACATGCCCCCCCCGCTTTGGAGGGGAAAGCCCAAGCTTTCCTCTTTTCATTTTTTGTTGGGGGGGGAGGGCTTTTTTGGGGTGGGAGAATAGCTTGGCTGTTCGCACAAAATGCGTTTGGACGATTGACAAGCGCGTGTCGTTTCGGGCACCAAAGGGCGATTTTGAGTTGCTCAAGATTGGTGAAACCGAAACCACAAAAGTATTGGCTATTTCCTAGGTTTTTCCTCAACACCCCCCAAAATGGACTCAAGCCGTAGTAGGATTGTGTCAACGCTACTTCCTGCAATATCCGAAGGATCTCATGCGGGCTTCCCCCTTGATTCAAAACTCGTTCAAGCCAAGCAAAGCTCTGCGAACCGCCAACGGTTTCGATGCAGTCTTTGAAGTTCACAAGAGAAACAAAAAGAAAAAGACATGGAAAGACGTCAAGATCAGGACATCGGCAAGCTGCATAGCGGTTCTGAAACCGCTGAAACAACTTGACAAGTAAGAAAGCAATTTGGATCACCCTGCAAAATGTCTTCATCAAGGAAAATCTGTTGACCTCGGATTCCGGGGGAAACGTTTGAGTCAGGGGTGGTTCCAATTGTAAGGACATGATCCCTGTTCAAGGGGCGCCGTTCCGACTGCGTTCACGTTCATGATTTGGGTATGGGTCAAAATTAAAGCACCGGGAATTGGACCCGGAGGTTTAGAGTCCATGTTTCCATTTCCTGATCGGGCATTTGGGGGCCCTGCCCCCAACTAGGAAGGTTCTCAGAACCTTTGGATCAGAGTCCCCTCTAAGAAGCTTCCTACACCCCTTCCGGTTCGGATCTAAAATGGATGCCCTAAACAATGCAAGTAAACCCAACCAATTTTGCTTTTGGGATTCTGTTTTTTGCAAGTTTTTTGTTTTTGTTTTCCAACTTGTTGCCCGTCCCATCGACAATTCCCATTTGTGGTTTGCTCATGTGATAATATTCGTGGCATCCGACGAAGTTCGTTTGTCTAGACGGGGGATCAACAGGTGGTGCATCAACACATACGTAAACCGCAACAACCAGCTAGCACATAGACCCCATTCTGATTGCTATTGGGTTGGGTCTTCAGACGTTAGCTTTTTGTTTGAAACAGTGGATTTTCGGCATTGACCCCACAAAAAGTCAAACAACTTTTGGCAGAGGGGTCAACAACGAAGCATTGTGAATTTCCTACACTCGTTGAAAGCTCCAATGTGCTAAGAGTATTGGTCGGGTATTGATCGGGACCCCTGCCATGGACCCTTGAGGTGCCATGTTGGTGGGAGGCTAACTGCTTATTCCCTACGAGTGTGCCTCTTTCGGGGACCCCTTTTGGTTGCTTTTAGGGAACCAGCAGGAAAAATGCTTGCGGAGTTTCGATCATTTTCAGACAACCCCCTGTGTCCTTTTTTTTGGAGGGCGTCCCTTTGTGGTTCTAAATGAAGCCACCAACAAAAACCGTTGCACCCTTTTGGGGGTTCCCCGGTTTCCCCGAAAAAAAACGCGACAAACCCATCGGCCAAAAGTCTCTCGGGTCGTCCGCAGGAGTTTGTCGGAGCGTCCATCAAGCTGCACGCCCCGGCTCGCATGGCGGACCGCGCAGGGGGCCCCGGGCCCAGGTGAGGAGTCACAGGGAAGCCGGGGGCAAGCTTGGCCTCGAGTCGCTGGCTTTTGTTGGCTTCCATTTGCTTAAGAACATATTTGTTTTTGTTTTTTTTGTTTGTTTTTCCTTGCCGGTATTAAAAGGAATTTGTGGCCACTGGACGTATTTTTATTTTTTCGAGGGGTCTTAACTTCATGGAAGTTGGGAGTTGGAACCCGTTTTTGGGCGTTGGTTTCAAAGGAAGACCCCAGAGGAAGCCCAGCATTTCGAGATCCCCAATTGTAAGACACGCCTAGATTGAGCAAACGGATGTCTAACTTTGGGCATTTGTGGAAACACTTAACATCGTTATGAAGCTTGTGGTTTTTAGAACCGCAAGGAAGGTACCAAGCTGCTGCATTTTGCGGACACTTTACCCCAAGTTGGAACAGAAGCAGCTGGTCAGGCAAAGAGTCAATCAGGGCCAGGTGATTCACAACGAATGGGTCCTCCGAAGATTGGGGACCTCTTTGTTGACTTTTTGGTCGGGGAAATCTTTGCTTGAAACCCAAACCCATCCACCCTCAAGCCCCCCCCCCGAAACCAACCCCCAACCCGCCCCACCCCTGCAAAACAGAAAACCCCAAAACCCAAAACCCAACTCCTGAAAAACCCCCTCACACTCGCAAACCCCCCCCCTTTCAACCCCAACCCATGGTAAAGACCAACTCAGTCCTCCCCCCGCCCCTCAAACCCCTCCCCACCCAACCCGCCCCCAACCCCCCCCCCCCCCCCCCCCCCCTGCCTCCCTCAAATCCCCCCCTCAAACCAAAGCCCCAAGCCTCGAGGAGATCTTGCGAAACTACATCAAGGACTCCTTCGCCGAGCTCAGCGTTCGCCTGGGCCGACTGGAGGCGTCCCTGCGCGAACCGCGGCCTTGGCGGCGTTTGGTGGGCGCGTGATTTGAACTGCTTCGTTTGGGTTGAAGTTTTGGCGGGCTTTGCGGGTGTTTGGCCATGTTGACCCCGTATGAATCAACCCCAGTATATGAATAGGGGGGCGGGGCTCCCTCCAAAAGGTGGTCTCTTGAAGTCGGGAGTCGCCTTCATGCTTCTGACCTGTCTTTGGGGAACCCGTGAACGAGTTTTGGGGCTGGAAAGTAGGAGTTTCCCCCGCCTCGCGCCTCGGAGTCTGTAGGATTTTCCGGGACTTGCCGTTTCTTCTCAGTTCCTACTGGTCTTTGCATTTCCTTTTTCGCATATTTGCCGGGGCCTTGGTTATTTCGGAAGGCGCCAAAGTTTGGCACATCCCGCCCAGCCTGCAAATATCATACATTGCACATGGCCCGCTGGAATGTTTGCGCACGGGGGTCTTCAAAACGTAGACATGACACGGCTATTGTTTGCAGGGGGCGCATCGGGTGACTGCACGGTTTTTCGCCGGCATGGTGCCTTTTCCGTTCATGGCTGGGTTCCCTGCTCCGAGGATGGGGACACCCATGTTTGCTTGTGTTCAGCATGCCATGTTGGACGGAGGGTGAACAGGGGGTTTAAATGAGTGCAACGCTTGTCGATCGAAATTCGGGAATGAGGGTGATTGGCGCCAGCTCTAGTCAAGGCAAGATTCTGGATTAAAACGGTGTGTCCCATGTAAAAGTCGGGAATCCCTAACGGCAGCCCGAACCCACAAGGATTCCAAGTCGACAACCCCGTTTCACCCACCAAAAGGCTACCTGGAAGGGTAAAGGGTCTTTCCACCGAGAAACCGGCTTATGAATGCGGAGTCGACGCAGAGAGCGAGAGAGAGAGAGAGAGAGAAAGCAGCTGGAAACCTACTCTGGCAAGTCACCGGAATCGCTTGGTCTGGTTGGGGCCATCCCCTTTTGGGCCAAACGTTCGGCGAATCTGCCAGCTCTTTGCGAGCTTCTAAGTCGCGAATGTTGGGGTGGGTCCCTTCTCCAAGACTCCCTGTGTTCCTTCTTTTGGTGGTTTCAACCATCATCTTTTGGGGGCAATTCGAGCGAGTTTCCTTTTGGCGGGGTGAAGTTTAGTGGAAAAAGGTAGGGACGAGCTCTGTTCTCACTGACCTGAAGGACATTTGTGCCGGGACTTCATGTGGGAAAACGGCGTTCCGGCCCAGCCAAACGTCTTTCATTGTCCAGGGCTCCTTAAAAGATACATTTTGCCCATTTGAAACATGTTGCTTTTTCAACACCAAAATAAAGTTGGAAACCACCATTTACAAGGCAATGTTCAGGTGCTTTTCATGCATCCGCATCCCTGTTGTCCTTTTCGGTTACTCTCAAACTCAGCAGTGGCGTAGCGCTTGAATCGGCGGTGAGCTGCGTGTGTGCTTGCTCGAAGCCAAAAAAGCAGGGGAAGAAATGAGTCAAGGAAGCCAAGCCAAGCCAAATACTGGGAAGGGTGTGTGGTGCTTGTTTGGTTGCTTGCTTGTTTGGTTGCTTGGTTGCTTGCTTGCTTGTTGGGTTGCTTGCTGGCTTGCTTACTCGCTTGGTTGCTTATTTGCTTGCTTGCTGGTTTTCTTTGTTTGATTGCTTGCTGGTTTGATTGCTTGCTTGCTTGCTTGCTTCCTTGTTTCTTTGATTGTTTGCTCCCTTAGTCGCTTGCTTGCTTATTTGCTTATTTGCTTTCCTGCTCGTTTGCATGCTTGCTTTTTTGCTTTCTTGCTTGCTTACTCGCTTACTTGCTTGGTTATTCGCTTGCTTACTTATGTGCTTGCTTGCTTGCTTGCTTGCTTGCTTGCTTGCTTGCTTGCTTGCTTGCTTGCTTGTTTGCTTGCTTGCTTGCTTGCTTGCTTGCTTTCTTGCTTTGCTTGCTTTGCTTGCTTTGCTTGCTTTGCTTGCTTTGCTTCCTTGCTTGCTTGCTTGCTTGCTTGCTTGTTTGCTTGTTTGCTTGCTTGCTTGCTTTGCTTGCTTTGCTTCCTTGCTTGCTTGCTTGCTTGCTTGCTTGTTTGCTTGTTTGCTTGCTTGCTTGCTTGCTTTCTTGCTTTGCTTGCTTTGCTTGCTTTGCTTGCTTTGCTTCCTTGCTTGCTTGCTTGCTTGCTTGCTTGCTCGCTCGCTCGCTTGCTTGCTTGCTTGCTTGCTTAGTTTTTCGCTTGCTTGCTTGCTTGCTTGCTTGCTTGCTTGCTTAGTTTGTCGCTTGCTTGCTTGCTTGCTTGCTTAGTTTGTCGCTTGCTTGCTTGCTTGCTTAGTTTGTCGCTTGCTTGCTTGCTTGCTTAGTTTGTTGCTTGCTTGCTTGCTTGCTTGCTTAGTTTTTCGCTTGCTTGCTTGCTTGCTTTGCTTGCTTTGCTTGCTTTGCTTGCTTTGCTTGCTTTGCTTGCTTTGCTTGCTTTGCTTGCTTGGCTTGCTTTGCTTGCTTACTTGCTTGGTTTTTCGCTTGCTTTGCTTGCTTTGCTTGCTTCGCTTGCTTCGCTTGCTTCGCTTGCTTCGCTTGCTTTGCTTGCTTTGCTTGCTTTGCTTGCTTTGCTTGCTTTGCTTGCTTGTTTGCTAGCTTCCTTGTTCACTTGCTTCTTTTGTGCCCGGTTGGTTGGTTGGTTGGTTGGTTGGTTGGTTGGTTGGTTGGTTGGTTGGTTGGTTGGTTGGTTGGTTGGTTGGTTGGTTGGTTGGTTGGTTGGTTGGTTGGTTGGTTGGTTGGTCGGTGTGGCATCGGACGGTTTGTCCCGTGACATTTCGTCCCAGGATCCGCCGGATGGTACAGCTGGACGCGTCCGGCTAGTTTTCGTCCTCGCCGCGAAGACTTTCGCCGCTTGGCCTTCACGTCGAGAGGTCCGAGTTGCTGTAAATGGAGGCTCCCAGAAGGCCGATGTAAATGGAACCAAGTCTTCCACAAGGGTTCTGGGAGCTTCCATGGTAGCCTGGGGAAGGTGCCCGTTTATCGTGGTTTCAAGAGCAAGGTTCACCGACTTTTTTCCTTTTTACCATGGTTTTAAGGGATGCCTTCATCCCCTGTCTTGTTGTTTCGGGCGGGGAAGTCACCGCACTCGTGTGTGTGGCGGCTTTTTCCATCCAAAAGGCCGAGCTGCGAACTATTTGCTGGCTCCTGGAGTGCGACGTTGTAACATTTCGGGGAACATTGAGAAAAAGCCTTTGGGCATCTTTTGTTTCGGCGGGGTTCCTGGGGAAAGTTGGTCCTGTTCAGTAGCCCAGCGTGTCCAGCCAATCTCGCCCCCCACGAGTGGCCCCAAAGAAAGCTTTGTAACGCTGAGCCTTTCTTGAAACTTTATTGTTGGAGCCTAGATAGCCAAGTTGCTTCTTTTTCCAGCCACTGTTGCTGGTTTTTGGGGTAAAGTGAATGGAAAAAAGCGGCAACTGGCGATCCAGGAGTTTCTTCTTGCTTTTTGTGAGGCCTGAGGAGTTGCTGTGTCCCAAGAGCGTTTTGTTGAAGTTCTTGCTCAAGTTAAGACCGTCAGACTTTGGTGTGCTCGTGATGGAAGAGTTGCCGCCGGTCATGTGCCGTACGTTGCGAAGCTGTCATTTTCGGGGGTGGGTTGGCTGAGCATTTGTGTCGTGGTCCCCGGCTTCCGGGAATGTCTTTTCAATCCTTGGCAATTTGGGGACTTTGGGGCCGGGGGGACATCGGCCAGCTTCAGGGATTGAGGAGTTGTTGAACCCACACCATCCTCCAGAAACTAGAAGCAGCCTGAGTTCTTGAGAAAAGGGAGCGCTTTTTCATGTCACACACACATGAAAGGGCATTCACTCCATGGCGCTCCCAAACGGTGAAAGGGGAGCTGCCCCAATTGAACCTGTTCATTCCCTGACGAAGCGTCTTCAAAGACGCATCATTTTGCATTTGGGACGACATTTCAGGGCTGGAAGCACTGGCTATAAGGAACTTGGGTAATTTTTGTTCTGGAGAGTATTGGGTCGTGTGGCAATGATTTACGACTAAGACATCTTGCAAGGGCAGCCAAGCAGAGCAGGCAAGGTGCTGTTCTCCTCCTCAACTAAATCATCTTGCAAGGATCACCAAGACATTTGCTTCTGTTTTCTCCAGCTACCCAACAATGCAACCGTGTGTCAAATCCTTCAAAGACAAGGGGTTTTCCAGTGTTTTGAAGTATTGACAAGCTAGGCGTGGATCTTGGGGGGGGGGGGTGCACATATATATATATATACACATATTTCAGGTAACCCTTAGTTGGTGGTTTGTTTTGGCTTGGTATCTGCCCGTCTTCAGGACGGGAAACCCTTGCTTGTCCACCAAATCACTACTCGAAACCACCAATTGGAGAGAAACTGAACATAGCAAAGCTGTTGCAAGGAATCAGGGGTTTGGGTCATGGAGGTCGATTTTTTGAAACTCTGTGAGGCAGACGTCAAGTCAGTGCGTGAGATGGCGGCGTTTTGGACGCCGATCTGTGGCAGAGCCCAGGTGCCCGTGCCAAAAAGAGGAACAGACGGCACACAGGCGTCCTTTTTGGTTGTTTTGGTGGGGTGCTGATTCCTGGTTTACCTGGTGGTGCAAGATCATCTACCAGGGAAATCCATCTATTTGCCCCAAAAACCCAAAAGGACAACTATGAGACTGCACATCTCGAATGTTTTGCCCAACATCGATTTGTCTTTCACGCTTGACGGGTAGCTTCGTGTGTAGCCCGTCCGGGCAACGCCGTCCGTCCAAGACGGTCAGGCCTTGCTTTTTCCTCAAAGACTCTTGGCATAGACCCATGCATGCCATCGTCAAAGGACTCACTTAGTCAGAGTCACACAGAGCATCGCTATTGGGCAGCGCAGTGTGAAATTTCCAACCTAGTTGGTGGTTGGAAGGGAGTCAAGGAGCTGGGAGTAGACATTTTTGCTTGTATATAGGGAACTAAGGAGCTACCGATCGGAGTCCTGCAAGGACGTGGTAGTTGGGGAACCTTGGCTGGACATCATTTACATGGGGGTTGTCCAACCATTTCGGAGGTTCCCAATTTGATGGCGCCGACTGTTTCTGGTCCATACCTACCTTGTCTGGGACACCAAACAGTTTAAAACACCATTTGGGGGTGTCCTTTTTTTTTAAAAGCTTTTTTTGGGGGGGACTCCCCCAAATGGCGGCAGGTTTTGCCTTTTGGCCACAACAAAAAATCGGGCGCCGCCGGACTCGGAGCTCGGGGTATATCTAACGCTGCCTTTAAGGAGGGAGCAGCTCGGAGCGACCGCTCGGAGTTTTTTGTTAGGGACATGGTGGCATTTCAAGGCAGATGGGCGAGGCGCAAAGTTAAACAGGAGGGGCAAACCGCAGGTTTTGGTCCATGTTTCCCCTTACCGATCGAGCAACCCATGTTGGAATTCCGGTTTTTTGAGCCACGGCCAGATGGTGGTACTGTGGATGGACGAACTCCTGCACCACCTAAGAAACCCTGGAATGATGATTCCCCTGTAAATACCAACAAACCATGGTTTCAACCATGGTTTCAAAGTGGTGCGATATGGATTTCGCAACCATCCACAGTATTTCAAGACAGACAGGAGTTGTACCAATGACGACGGTACCTTTCTCGGGCCTTCTCAAAGGAGCCCGGGATCGCATGGCGAGAATCTGGGACGCAGCACCTCACTGCCTGAGTACCGCTTGACCAGAAATGGCAATGGGTCTTTTTCAGCGACCTCCCAAAATGGCGCAGCGGTGTTCCTTTTGGTTTCCCTTTAAAACCAAAGAAAAGGAACTGCACCCAAGTTTATCTTTTTGCCCATCCACTCAGGAAGTGAGTTATAGTGATTCGCAGCCAGAGCTACCGGGGCCCCGGAGCCCCTTCGAGTGAAGCGGCAGATTGGGTTGCCCCACATCTGTGGCTCTGAATTTCGAAACATCGCGAGGGCCGCCGCTCCGAATTATTTATATGCCCCTGGCCTAGCGCGGTTTTTGTCAGGGGTCCAGCCGTGCACCGATGCTGATGCCTGGGCAACGTTATGGCAGCTTTGTTGCATTTTGCTTGGATGTTAGGACTTTAAACTTTTTGCCAACCAATGGGTTTTCCACTAAACCGCTAAAAGTTAAGCTTTTAGCCGGGGAGCAGATTTCGCAGCCGAGTTCTGGTAGGTTTGGTTCGAGTCGCTCTTTTTCAGGCCGGTTTTTGCGAGATTGCGAGGCAACCACAGGCTCCGAGGGTTAAGACAAGCCTACAGGTTGAACTCAAGCGGTGGGGTTTCTTTTAGTTCTCGTCTTAAGGCAAACAAAAAACAAGGACCTTGAAGTTGGCAATGCCAAAATCCCGGAAGATCATGCGGTATTTGGTCATGTTGCTTTGCCGTTACCCGCGTTTTGCATCCCTGTGCGTTTGCATGCCCATGAGGCCGCCATGTTTGCCGGCGCACGAAATTGGCGGACCCATGCAAAGCAGGAAACCACCGGGAAGCTAAAAGAAAAACAAAGATACAATAAAAACCAGCCAAAGCAAAGAACATCCAAGGACGCCAGAAGGAAACTGAGAGGATAAAACCACAGCCAATGTCTTCCACGTTGATTTTGGTAGTGCTCCGGAAGCCCGACACAGAACATGTCACCCAGATTTGTCAATTGGGGCGGACGACGCATCTCCCCTTCAAATGACAGCCTCTTCGTTTCTTCAAATCTGATGGATTTGGACAAGACTCGGCACTCAAAGCAGCAAAAGAAGAACAATGCTTGAATAGCCGGGGAACACCTAAGCCTAAAAGCTCGGGTCATTCTGATGTCTTAATAGCGCTAAGAGATTCAATTCGCCAGGTGTAAGCCCCCCACTGAACTGTTTGCAAGATATGAATCTGAAGTGGGGTCCCAAAATTAGCAACATGCAACTTGTACATGTAGGACATCTTCTGCGGTTCGCTAGGCAGGGAGTGAGTTGGCATCGCCCCCATCCTGTATGGTTTCCTTCAAGGGTATCCCCAACGGTTCATTTCCAACACCATCATTCCCTACCTATCCCACCGGCAAGTCTTGCCTTCAAAAATCAACTCTGGACAAACTTGCCGGGTGTTTTCACCCCCAATCTTTTCTTTCTTTTTTTTCGCCCGCGGAACCACAGATTCACGACTGGATCCCTGATCCCGACTGCTTGGCCGGGTCTCTCTCGCCGCCGCGCGAAAACCGGGGTTGCACCGGGCCTCTTGGGATGGTTGTAAACGGAAACCAAAAGCAATCCACCCCACCTGCAGATTTAAGAAACACCCATGTTGAGTCGAACCTGTTCTCAAAATTGCTTTTGAGGGTGGGGTGTTCCATTGCAACCACCCATAGGACTTACTTTGGGTGGTTTCCAACTGGGAAATGACGCTTGAAATAGTTTTGAAAATTAACGAGGACCAAGCCCTCAAAAATTCTGGGCGCCCGCCTTCTGTATGGATGGCAGTTTGGTAAGGGATCTTTGGACTTTAATACTTTTTGGTCGAAACTTGGTGGGATTTTCCGTATGTGGACCCAAAAAAAAGGTGAAAGTGAAGCACTTTTGGCAGAGGGGTCAACAGCAACCAAGCATTGTGGTCTCCAAAGTGCTAACCGTGTTGGTTGGGTATGCTACCCTCTGGTCGTTGCAGCAACCAAGCCTTTTGCAATCTCATAGCGGAGCCTTTTTCAATTGCATGTTGCGTGCCACACAGGCATCGAGATGTTACTTGGTCACCAGGCCTCTGGTTCAACTTCGCTTTTTGCTTTTTCGTGGGTTTGGTGGTTTCCCTTGAGCCCCACTTGTTTTCTTTCATACTTTTGGCAGAGCTGAAAACGGACAGCCCCAGCTAACATGTTCCCAGCCTTGCTGGGACACAGAGACAGTCCTTTGCGAAGCTGACACTTTTTTTTGACCTTGCGCCGCAAAAAAAACACGTTAGAACTACGGGCGGGGTGGACGCCGGGTTCCAGCTGGTGAGGCCTGCTGGAGCAAGCCTCGACGCTTCCCGGCGAAGAAGCCACCTTCAAGCCATCAGAAAGCCAACGCAGACGAGCCAAGAAGCCAAAGAAACACCAAGCTCTGCCAAGCCGATTTCACAGAAACCACTGATTTAAGAACAAACCGCAACGCAACCTTCAAACCAATTAGAACCAACCTTCAAACCAAGCACAGCAAAGCTCCAATCAAAAAAAAAAACCTTCCAGCCAAGCTTCACACCAAATTTAGCCCAACACCACTTTCATACCACCCTAAAAAGAGCAACAATTCTCTCAGCTCGCCCGAGCAGCAGCTCCTGGCGCCTCGCGCCTCTCGCGCCGCGCCGGGTCCAAGCTCCAAACCTCGTCATGGCGGAGCTGCAGGTGGGAAAAACCCAGGGATTTTGGAGAAACACACTTGGTGAACTGTGTCTTGGCAGAGTTAGTGGGTTTCCCTGGCCGAAAAAACCGTTGGATTTTGGAGAAACGCACTTGGCTTCCAACTCGGTTGAATGGGTGAAAAAAGAAAAGCACGGCTGGGTTCCGAAGTCGGAGGCGAAGAATCTCCTCTTTGTCCTTTGCAAGCCGGTTGAAAGGCCGTCAAAACGGGCACGAGTCTTTGATCGAGGGCTTTTGGACACCTCAAGGACTTCCGCTGCGCATCACTCTGAGCTGAGGACAACCTGGGTTCTCCATATCTGGTTTGTGCTCAGGGAATGGCCCAGGCTGCTGGGAATGATCCTGGGACTCCCTCAAGGGAAACCACAAAGGGTGCTTGGTAGGGGTCATTCGCCCTGAGAACCAGCAAGATAACTGGATTGTCAAGTTCCTGGATTCAATCTCGACAGTGACCAGCTCGTTGTGCTTGCCGTCTTGTCGAATCTTGGCCCCTGGTGGAAGCTCTTGTAGTTCCAAATCAGCTGGTTGATTTCTTCATTGGCGCTGATATCCTTCACACTGCATGCCACAGAAAAATAGATCTCCACTTCCCTTGCACGAGGGAAGGCGTTGGGTTGCTTCTCGCGGGGGGTTTTGTCCGCACCCCACGTAAAAGGGCTCCCGCCTTTCGGGCGCTGCTCTTCGCCCGGTAAGTGTGTATATACATGCACTTATCACACACACACATATGTATATATAAAACATTACACCTACCTTTTTTGGTTTTTATATTGTATATATATATGTGCACATATATGGCAGTGATTTTTTTTGAGGGGTCTGGAACAGAGCCGCGGCGGACATTCGTTACAGACCTCGTTACAGACCTCTGTAACAAAACCAGCTGGCTCGTTACACGCCCCTCGTTACACACCCTCGTTACACACCCTCGTTACACACCCTCGTTACACACCCTCGTTATACACGCCCTCGTTACGCACCTCAGATGAACAAACCGGGCCAGTGACGTGACTGCCCTCTTTTTGCCGCAGCTTGGCTTGCGTTGAATAGCTGCAATCAAGCTGGAGCTGCGGAGGCGCGCTTTCCGTCCTGCGCTTCGCTTTGCCTGGTTACAGACCTCGTTACATAGCCATTACATACCTCGTTGTGCTGCGCTACATTGTGCTACCGATACTGCTTGTCAGGAAATTTTTGTCCCGTTACAGACCTGCGTAACAAGGACCTCCGTTACAGACCTCCGTAACAAGCTTCGTGGCGCGTCGCGCGTTACAGACCCCTAAAAATATTCATAGCCATATATATATATATATAAATATAGCATGTATATATACATACAAACATACGCATACACACATATATATATATATATATGTATGCTACCCCCCCCCCCCCCGGGACCCCCCCCCGGACCCACGCATTTGCTATACATATATATATATATGCTCACACATCCCACCCATGGTCCACTTTTCCTCCTTGCACATTTTTTACTTTTGCAAGTCCGCTTTGCACAGTTGCTCATTTGCCATCTTCCACCTTTTCTTCAAATCTGCTCCACTACTGTCCATTACCTTTCCACGTGCTTGCCAAACTGCAATTAACTTTTTGGATGAAAGTCCTGTTTGGACAGGATTTCCTACGCAAATTAGCAATCAAACTAGACATTCAATTTGGAAAGTACTTCCTACTTTAATCCTCAGTTAGAATAGACATTCAACAGCACATGTTTTTTTCTTCAATTCTATTACAATTCTATTACCATTCTATCTAGATGTTGATTTAAATCTCATTTAATTGATACAGCAAATATATTCGAACTATTTCCTTACTAAGCTCTATTCATGGACAGGACGCTTTACTTAGTTTCTATCTGAAGATAGAAGTCTAATGGAACTCGTGCCCTATTAAATTCTTTGCACGTTCTGCTAGTTAGTGTTAGTTTGAAATCACATATGGAAAGGGCTTCTTCTTTCCATTCTCATTAAATCCTACTAGACTTTCTTCCTTTAAACACTGATCAAACCGCAATTGGAGTCCAGTTTGGTATAAGGAGCCTTATGAGGAGTTCTTTTTACAGAGCTTTAACAGAAGCTGCACATGGAGCCCTACAAGCAGCTGTTCAAGGAGTATAAGGAGGTTTATAAGAACTTGAACATGTGCATTATACGCTGTATAAGGAGCCTTAAATGCAGCTTTTGCAATGACCCTTATAAAGAGCTTTATCATCAGCCTTAAAAGGAGCTGTGAAAGCATTTGTGCAAGAAATTGTACAAGGAGCCTTTAAGGAGCCTTAAGCAGAGCTTTATGATGAGTCGTTTAAGGAGCTTTTTTTGAAGCTTCATTCAAACAGTCTTATACGCACCCAAGTGAGCTTCAAAAGGAGATTTGCAAGCAGCTTTGCACTGCGATTTTATATGGAGCGATGACATAGAAGAGCTGGTTTCATACGGAGCCTTGTACAAAAAGCCTTACAACGAGTGTGAAAAGGAGCTGGACCAGGAGCTTTCATTAAGGAGCCTTAAAAAGAGCTGCATCAGGAGCTTGAAAAGGAGCGTTGAATTCCAACTGAACAGTGAACATCTAGTTCACTGGTCACACCCGTTCACTGGGTCATGGCAGTACCAAACCTGCCCAAATTATGGATATGCCCAAGAAACACAGCTCAAGATTTGGTCTTGGTGTTTGGTTTTCCCTGAGTTTTGTTGGGTTGTTCAGATCTGTCCCTTCAAACAACAAAAGTCAACAATAACAGGGTCCTCATGAAGAAGGAAACCAGCGAAAAAAACCAGAAAAACCAGAAAAAACAGAAACACCAAAAACCAGGGGGCTCATGAAGAAGGGCCAGAAAAACTAAAAAAACAAAAGAATTAGAAAAAACAAAACAAAAACCAGGGTCTAGGAGATGGAGGTCACCCTTCTTCTGGAGGACCCTGTTCTGGTTTTGGTTTTGTGTTCTTTCGTTTTGTTCCTTGTTTTCTTCTTCTTCTTTTTCTTCCGGTTTTCTGGTCTTTCTAGTTTTTCTGGTTTGGTGCCCTTCCACCAGAAGATGTTGGTTTCTTTCACTTCCATACCAGAAGATGTTGGTTTCTTTCACTTCCATAGAACCTTGGTTTTTCCTCTTCCAGAAGACCATGTTTCTTCTTTGATTTTTCAGCTTTTCTTCCTGTTGTTGGCTTGGGGGTGTCCGGGGGGGGGGGGTGGGGTACCATTTTTTTTATACATATGGCCAGGCCCCCCATCCATGAACTACCTTTCCTTCTTTCTTCATAAACTGCGATATTTCCGGCCCCCCCCCCCCTTTCGTGAGCGGTCGCCACGTGCGGCGCTGCTGCTTTGGAGGCGCTGCTGGCGCGGCTGCGGCTGGAGAAGTTCGGGGCAGCGCTGGGGGAGCTCGGGGTGGAGAGCCCTGCGGACCTCAGCTACCTGCAGGCGCCAATGTGGGTAATGCGCATGGTGCCACTACCTGGCTTCACTGGTTTAACTGGTTTACCTGGAGTTAACTGGATTTAGTTGGACTGGATCATGGTTCCATTACCTGGTTTCACTGATTTAACTGGTTAGCTGGATTTAGTTTAACTGGATTGAACTGGATTTAACTGGACCAGTTTTTTGGGTGCAACCATATTTTTGGGCGTGGTAAAGCTGCTTGGTTGAACTGATTCAACATTCTTTCTGGGTGTAGTAAACCGCATTTGGGTGTCAAAGCCATTTGAGCCACTTGCTCAAAACGAAGGGGCGGTGATTTGAGCTGATCGATTCAAAAGAAGGGGAAAGGGAATGGTCCATGAGCCGCTTGCTCAAAACCCAGGTAGATGAAGGTTAGTAAGGGACAATCCCAGCCATAAATAGCTGCGGCCGCCATCTGAATTCTTTACACGGTCCTGGGAAAACCATTGTCATACCGGGTTTTGATTATGACTCATTTGGGTGTGCTCATGCACATGTTTCCACTACCTGGTTTAACTGATTTAAGTGTTTTGGGGTGTAACCAAACTTGGGGGTGGTAAAGCACATGTTCAATTGATTTAGCTGATTTGCCGGTTTTATGGGTGTAACCACATTTGGATGTGGTAAAGCTGCCTGGTTTCACTGAGGCTTCTGGTTGAGGCCACTTTCACCTTTAAACCATGATCATTGAAAAACAATGGCCATTGGATCATAAACGGGTACCCATGGGGTTGGTTTGTAGGGAACCCATCGGGGTCACTTTCTGAGCGATTCCAATGGTCCCTTGGGGATGCTTGGAGGTGTCTTTGGGGGACCAGAATGGACTTCCGGTTTTCCAGTTGGTTTCCTTTCAAAGCCATGGGGTTCCACAAAGCAAGACATACCCATTGGTGCCCTTTTTGGTTGGTGAAACATAGATAGCGATTCACCTATACCCAAACTCCCTGCCTGTAGGGGACATCTCCTGACAAACCATTTGTTTTGGTAGAGGAGGTGTAACGCGTCCCAATCATGAACACAGAAACCACCTGGGTGTTTCTCAAAAATGGGGGTCCTTATTTTGGGTTTGTACGAGGGGAAACCAGAAGGACACGACCCACCTGAAGGAATTGGTCCCCAATGTCACCCATTTTTGTTTCGAACGCCCAGAAGCCGGGGGAATCCACTTTACTTCTCGCCTTTTCGGCGCCAGTGGTTTTTTGGGAGGGGTTCCCTTTAAGATCAACGATCTTTTGTTTTGTTTACAGCATGCCTAGATAGCCAAGTTGCTGCTTTTTTCAGTCACTGCTGGTTTTTGGGGTAAAGTGCATGGACTATAGCAGCAACTGGCGATCCAGGTGCTTCCATTTGCTGAAAGGATCGGAACCCATTGAATACCAAACGGACACCCGAAAATTGAGCCACGGCGCCCTTCCCGGGGCGTTTTTTGTGCCCACGACCAGAGCTCCCCAATACCAAGACATGCATGTTGGGCACCGAACAAATGCACAAGATGTAGCCCAAGAGCGGCGGAATGTGCCTTGTTCATGTGGCACCCCGATTTTTTTTTTTTCGGGTGCACGTCTTTGTGCGTGCATGTCAGCTGTTTTTTTACTTGCTGGCTCTCATACCGTGGATGGTTGCGAAATCCATTTCGCACCACCTAAGAAACCCTGAGATGATATGATTCCCCTGAAAATATCAGGAAACCTTATGGTTTCAAACGTGGTTTCATTTCGTGGGGTGGTCTCGCTCACACGACGCACCGGTTTTTTACTCAGTCCTTCTGCCCGAGTCTCCCCGCGTTGCTCAGGGTCTCTGGGTCAAGGTTTGATACCATCTGACATCTTTGACCAAGAAGGTGGCGGAAAAGATGAATACTGTGCTGTGGACAAACACCATTTCGCAACAGTTGGGATGACACCCTATGAATAATGGGCGAAACCACCAATCCCAAGGAGTTTGTCCATCCTCAGTTCTACTTGTATTAGTTTACAGTACGCTGGCAGGTACCCCCTTAGTTGGTGGCGACTTGAAGCAGATGTCTTTCTTTAGGACTCGGACCCCCCAAAAGGACCCCCGAGAAAAAAAAAGTGTCCCTTTCGGTTTCCCTTGAACACCCACCCAAAACAAAAAAGCAGTTGGCGCCGAGGCTCAAGAAAAAGGAGGCGGCCTTGAGACGCCTTGGGTGTCACTTGTCAGGACTCGGACCTAGAGAAGCTGGGGCTGCCGCTGGTGCCGCGCCGCAAGCTGCTGGAGGCAGAAGCTGCGCTCGCTGCGTTTTTTTTTTTTGGGGGGGGGGGGCTGTTTCAGGGCGCAGGCGTGGACACTGTCTAGGTCCCCCAGCAATTGGTGCCCTTTCTCACCAACTTTCTTGGGGGAGCGTTCCCCTACAATAATAGACTACAGAAAAAAGTTGGTACCCTTATTCTAATTTCTCTTCTGGAGGACCTTAGCTGTTTTTAAAGATGGAGAAGAGGCAGTTGGCGGCTTTCATGCTGCATTCTGGAAGACTTGCACATCTGGCTATGCAAAAAAAAAGTCGAGGACTGAACACTGGAAAAGCATCGTAGGGCCCTAGTGCGGCCCCTTCCATGAACCGTCCTGTGCCGGTTCCGTTCTCATTTGCCACAAGGCGAAGATGCGAGGGGAAGGGGCCCAAGCCTTGGCCCGCTCACCCCTGAGTAGCAGGAGAGAAGATGGACACGTGCCGGAGGTCCCCAGAGTTCTGGCGGAAGCTTCAACCCACTCGGTCTGCTGGCCCCTCCCGCCCTCACCCCCCCCCGCCCCACTCGTGAGGCGGCCGGCGGCCAATGGCGCGACAAGGCGGGCAAGGTGGGCGAGATTCCCAGGTTCGGTTCCGGGGGGTCCGCTCGGATTTGTCCTCCAGCCTTGGCGTACCAAGTCGTGGCTGTGGGTCAAAAATGGGTAAAGGGAAACATGGACTAAATCTTGCGGTCCCCTAGTGGTTTAATTTTGACCCATATCCTTGTTCTCTTTTCAACTGAAAGGGTATACCTGACAAGATGATCGGATGGCGCACATTTGTTGGGTGTGTGAAAAGCAGGGAGTACTGGAAAGCCTGGTTGGCTTTCCTTCATATTTTGCCCGGACACCAGCAAACAGCCAACCTTTTGCGCAAGCCGAAGTTTCCGGACATCGTTTTAGTGATTTTTGGCCACCGGTGCAAGGAAGTAGGTGTCTTGAGCTCCCTCTTTGCACAAGCCACTGCCTTCGGCTGGAAACCACCTAAGTCTAAGAGATGTGCTTCCTCCAAGAGATGTGCTTCCTCTAAGAGATGTGCTTCCTCTAAGGTCTGACTGTCTCTCCAAAAATCGGGGGACAGGTGCTTGGTTCCAACCAGGTATCCAGGTAGGGTAGCGCACCTGCGTGCAAACCCCTCCGCAGGCGCCGGAGTTCGCGCCCACGCCAGCGCCGGCGCTGATGCCACCGCAGGCCCTTCTCAAGGTTTGGCTGCGTGGTTGGGCCAAAGGAAGGAGTCTCCGTGCCTCAAACTAGGGATCCCCCCAAAATAGGTGGTTTCCGTTTGGGGAGAATCCGCAAATCGAAGATAGACTCAGTGCCATAGTTTTACTAAACCAGCGGACGGGCTGAGAGAAAGGCGGCGGTAAAGCTTTCGAAAGCCAACTGCACACAGCTTCGATTCGAATCGATGCATCCGATGTGTCACAAAGATGGATGACTCAACATGGCGGTCTTCGTGGGTAGCTACTTCCCCCTTTAGAGCAACCCCAAAAGGGTACACACCGGAGTGTAGCGTGAAGCCTCACATGCCGATTTCAAAACAGCTCCGTGGGAAACTCGGCGAATTTAATCGCGATCCTTTCTTTGGGTCAAGCTTCCTGCTTTTCTATGACTCACCCAGTTGAACCCTGTCCGAATCGTCGATTCCAGCCATTCCCGAAGGGGGCAACTGGCGGGAGATCACGGAACCAGCTTGGGTTGGTTTCCAACTCTGTACTAGAACATCTCCCCTGAGAATTCACAATTTGGACAGCCTTCGAAGCAGCCCATTCCCACCCTGCGAAACAGGGCTGAAACTTGGATAGCAACTGACGCCACTATGGGTAATTGTCCTTTAAAAACCAACAAAGCAAACAACTCACCTGGCTATCTAATCGGGAACCAGCACAAGTTGTTAGTGGACATGACTCCTCACCTAAATGATGTCCTTTCGGTTTCCCGTCAAACCAATCTTATAAAGGGTATCCTCCAAAAGCCACGCACAGCTATATGAGGTTCGATCAAACTTATTGGTAGTCTATTGCCACTTGGAAGGGACATGGGACGAACCCTCAAAATTCCCCCCAAACCGGGGGACGAACCCTAAACTTCCTATGTCCTTGTGGGGAGACCTTGATCATTTTGATTGTGGCTCACAAGTGAATTTTAATGGGTCCGGACCCTTTGGTGGATATCATGGTGATCATTCATATCCACTTACCACTTAGGTGTTCCCTGTCTTCGCTGCTGTGGGTATATTTTAAGGTTTTTTGGTTCTGTTCATTTTTAGTAGGGGGCTGCAAAAAACCATCGAGTCTGTTTTTGGCAAGCCCATACCGTTTGGAAACCATCTCCTCCCTTCTCGGAAGCTGCAGGCGGCTCCTGCCCCCGCGCCCGCGCCCGCGCCCGCGCCGGCGGCAATGCCGGCCTTGCCGCCAAAGGCCGAGGCGGGGGTTGCTTCAACTCGAAGAAGAGAAATCTGCTGTTGGCTTATGGCTCCTTTTTTTTGTCAAGGGTGTCTATCACTACTGAAGACCACATGTCGTTCATTTCTCCCTGTTGGCTTTTAAAGGGAAGTGGCAAACAACAACATGATTTCTAGGGACGTCAGCAGGTGGAGGTGAGTTGTCTATCTTCTGGCGGCTCACCTGATGGTAAAAAAAAAAAAAAACCGAGCCCTTCGCCGTCAGGGAGGTCTTTTACCTGGGATCCCCAATCTCCGGCATGCAACGGATTCAGATTGAGGTACAAGACAAATAGCATATCGGTGTCATCCTTGGTTTAGTGCAGTATACTGTACCCTCATCATCCCCTTTTTTAAGCAATATGACATATATATATAATATACATACACACATCGTATGTTTACCTTTGCAGCGAATGGAGAGCCACCAGCTGGCGGGAAAGAGTGACTCGCGCTCCCCGCGTTACAGCAGTCAAGGCCGGCGCGACGCAAAAACACATACTAGGTCCCCCAGTAGTGCCCTTTGTCACCAATGTTTTTGGTTGGGAGGCTTCCCCTACTAAAATAGACTACGGAAGAAAGGGTACCCTTGTTCTCCTCTCTACTGGAGGACCTAGCATAAGCAGCTTCCGTTTCCATTCTTTCCAGGCACCACAAACCACCCAAAACTCAAGGGGAAACAGCGATCGGTTTTTGAAAAGAATGAGGGTTGCCAGGTCAGCAAAGGACCAAGAAATCGCTGGGCAAGTTTTCACCAGCTCGAGCTGAGCGAAACCCCCATCTCGGCACCGTGTGGCTTCCTGTCTGAAAGCGATTTGTTCGGAAAAGACTTTCTCATTCGTCCGGCACAAAGAAGCCAAAGCATCCACGAGGGATGCCCAAGGTGTGGAGACATTTTGACGGGTTGGCTTTGGCTTAAAAGATGCTTGCACAAATTGAGAACCCCATGAATAGGTGGTTTTCTGTTCGTTTTCAGGCAGGCATCAAGAAGGTTCGGCTCCGAATCACACTTGGCTACAGATTTACCTGTCAAATACTAACCCAAATGATGGGTCCACCAAAACAAGTCCCACCCATACATACGCATATATATATATATACATATATGCACCATATGTAATGATATACAATATAATAATGAAGATGTAAAACTATATCCACCCATACATGCACGACCATGCCTATATATATATACATACACACTATATATGTATATACATATAAATATATATATATATGTATATAATAACATACAATAGTACTGAAGTTGCGTTGTTCAATTTGTTGCTTATCCCTTGGGCAAAAAAACTGTCGGAGGCGCCTGAGCTGCTTGAAGAGGAAGGAGACGAGAACTCGATTCGAACTCCGCGATGGGATGCCCGGCGTTCCCGGGATGGAACCACCCCCCAAAAAGGGTTTATGGGTGGCTCGTGTATTTTTTTTGAATCGGACTCCCCCAAAATTCGGAAGAACCAGCCAGATTTTTGTTTCTTTGAGTAGCTTGGGAGTGGTTACCCCTCTTTTGTGGGTTCACCTGTATGTGCGTGGCTTCTCCTTTGTCTTTTCGGAATCGGATCCAAATCCCCAAACAATTGACAACGGTCTTCCTTTCGGCTCCCTTAAAACGAGGGCACCCTGAAAAAGGACGCGCACATACTTGCTATTGTCAATTAAAGGGGATGACGTGCGGACTCACCAAAATACCAAATGGGGTGTGTACTCTCCGAATGCCCATGTCAAAGAGGGACAGAATTCCCAACCGAAAACTATGATGACAGTGGCTCACATACCCTCAAGGCAACACACCCGACTTGAATTAGACGACCGCTTGAGCAACGGATGCCGTTGTGGGGAACAAAGGGGTCGCCTCTAGAATTTTGTCGGTATCTCTGGTAAACATGTGGGTTTGTCATAAAATTGGCGAACCCACACAATTGATTGTTTTCCTTGGTTTCCCTTTAAACCAATGCAGAAAAGGTACTCTCAACAAAGACACCCATCTGTCCCTGGGTTGCGTGCACATCCCCATTCCGGGTCATATTCCCCAACATCAACCACCGAGGGTGGCCACCCAAGAAAACCCTGCTTTGAAACCGTGGATGGACAAAATTCATGCCGATCGGCACTATTGGCCATTTTTAGCAGGTGGATCTCCTGCCTGGCCCAACAAAGGTTACAGCAAGGGCCTTTTTTCAGGCCTTGACAACAATCGCAGGTGAACCAAACGCCCCTCCGGGTTTGGCTCGCTGCTCACATCGGCTTTTGTGTTCGTGCAAACTGCCGCACCAAGCGTGAAAGTCAAAAGCAGCTGCCCACACGTCATTTGTTTCGTTGGGGTTTCCTCATGGTTTTTTCGAGTTTGTGGCTGCACGTGTCTTTGTCATGTGTTTTGTTCTGGCAACAGGTTCCGGCTGCTGGTGAGCTCGTTTTTTTTTTTTTTGCAAGCTTGCTCGTTTGCTAGTTTGTGCTTGTGGTCTTGGTTGTGTTGGTGGATTTTGGTTGACTTTGGCTTGTTGCTTTGTTTTGCTTTGCTTTGTTTTTGTTTTTGCTTTGCTTTGTTGTATTGCTTGTTAGTTCGTTAGTTAGTTGGTTAGTTAGTTAGCTTGCCTGCTTGCTTGCATGCCTGCTTGTTTTTAGCACCTGTCCCGCGCCGCGCCTTGGCTTCGGGGCTCCTCGGCGCATCGCTTTTCGGAGGAGAGGAGCTGTCGGCGGAGGCGAAGGAGGAGCTCGAGCAGCTCATCCGGGACATCAGGCGCAGGGACGGGAGCTCCCGGGACCCAACGCATCGTTTTTTTTTCTTCTCTTTTTTTTTTCTATTATTATTATTATTACTATTATATAATATTATATATATATATATTAAAAAAACAATAATAAAGGAAAAAACAAGAACAACCTTTTTTTTGGAAGGAACTGGGAGTTTCAGAGGTTGGGGTTTCTCTAGCTTAGAGGACTTCCATTTGTTTGAGAATACTTGTTATTTTCCCCTGTTGGTTTTAAAGGAATCGATCACTGCTGGACATATTTATATTTTCCAGGGGGCTCAAGCAAATGGAAGATGAGTTTTGTTTCATCTGCCGGGCCCATCCACTTCTCCAAAAGGTCGTGTGACTGGCACGACCTCTTTGTAAGATGCCTCTGATGGTGGTTTCGGATTCGGATTTGAAGCCCTGGTTTTTGGCACCCCCTCCTGAGTCACCAAGACCAATCCAAACCAAACCAATCCCCAAGGAGCTACCAGGAGTTCTGGAAGGAACAGGTTAGACTTCCAATGCTCTTCAGGGCTGCTTCTCTTGGAATTGGCCAGTGCGTTGGGAAAATGGGCGATTCCTCTTAAGATTGGCCAATCCGGTGACCAAAGAAAGGGCTCTTGCTTTGGGAGAATGGGGAATCAGCTGCCCCAGGTGCTTTTTGGGTGGCTTGGATTGGGGATTTGAGCCCCGGGTTCTTGAGGCTCAATGGGTTGGGGTTGAAGCCGAGTGCACGTCGCATTGCCGTCGGTGGCTTGGGATTTGAACCGGTTCTTGTGGGTACATGGCCATGGGTCCCAACCTATGATTCCATTTTGGGGCGGATGAACACCCATGTACCACCTAGTTTGATGTTCACCAGGGTTTGCTGGGTTCTGACCCCCAGCGGTAAATGGGAAACCTCGGGAGCACCTCAAAGCCAATCCCAACCAATTGGAGGGAAGCTGATATACGGCGTCTCTATTGAAATGGTTTGCAGGGATTTGCGTTGGGCGATTGCTTGGGCAGCCCCAACAGTGCTTGTTTTAGGCCTTGTTCGCATCCCTCTGAGTTCCAGGCAAAAGGCCAGTGTTTTCGCATGGGAAGCCGGCGGCCCAGTGATCGCCGCGCTCTCCTTTTTCGACTGGGACACCGCCTGCGCTGCGCTCGGGATTTGCCTGTTCACCGGGACGTAAAGCGAGAGAGAGAGGTCTCCCGAAAATCTGGACGCCATGTTGAAAGGGGACAGATGCCGGAGCCTTCGTAGGAGTATCCGCGAAGACTTTGCCACCGTGCAGCGCGGCCGCGTTTGAGTGTTTTTTTGTTTTGTTTTCTCAGTTGTTCAGTGGCACCCTTTTTCCCCCTTTTTTGGGTGGCTGCCCCACTAAAAATTGTCTTCCCCAAAAAGGGTTCCCTTTTTTCCCGGGGTCACTGAACAACTGATTTTTTTTATTGCTGCGCAGGGTCCTCGCGCCGCTTTCGCGTGGCTGTTTTGTTGGTCGCGAGGTCTTCTTAGGGAAGCCCTCAAAAGTGGTTGGTGGACATAAGCCGCCACCCAAGATGGAGTCGTCACAGGGTTCCCAATGTTCATCCCATGTGTGTGTGTGTGTGCGCGTGTGTGGGGAAAAACGTCTTTTCCTCGGGAAGCTGTTTTCAAGCCAGAGAAGACTTCCGCTTCCCAACTTTTCGAGCGTTGAGCCCATGAACAGGGATCGGGTTTGTTTCTTTTTTCTCCCTTGGTTTTTGTTTTTCGAGTCACGGAAAGTTGGGTCACAACCCCCCAACATGCGAACTCACCTTGGGAGTAGGTTCGTGGCTTATGAATTTGAAGTCCCGAAGATTTCACCTCCCTGGAGGACATGCGTCACCGAATTTTGATGTCCAGTTTGGCTCCCGTGTTCAAGCATCTTCACCCCCAAAAAGATGACAACCCCACCAGTTTCCAGTCCATCTGGAAGAACTGAGGGGGATTTGTTCCCCCCCTTAAAGGAATTGCTTGGGGGTTTAGGGTTGTTTTCCCGGATGTTCCCAAGATGTGGGATGCTCCTCGGGTTTATTTGGGTGTGGCTCTTTTTCTTTTTTTCTTTTTCTGTTTTTTTTTTGGGGGGGGAAACTCCTTTTGCTTGGTTTTAAAGGAAGTTCAGGTTCACTAAATCTGGTTTTTTTTTGCAGTGGTTTCAGGACACCCGAAGCATTTTAAGGGACCACCCCAATTTTGAGACACTCCCAGATGGCAGCATGGAGCGAACCCAGGCGTTTCCATTTTGCTTTCTCTTTAACAACACCCAACAAAATTACCCTTGTTTTGTGGCAAGGGAAAACCACCAGGAGAACCAAACAAATCCATTTTGGGTCCCGGTTCAATTCCCCATTTCAAGCGCGCCTTTGCCCATTCGGGATACAGTTCCCCGAAAATGACGAGCGAGCAATGGAAAACGTCTTTCTTGTGGGGCGCTTTCCTACGTCTTTTCCAGGCGTACCTTTGAAAAGAACGGAAACGGAATCAACCCCTAGAAAAGTCTGTGGGCGTCTCTTTTTTGGTCTCAAATGGCACGTCTTCCCTCCCTCCCGCAACGATGCCCCGCATCATCCGCCGAACCAAGACCTCATGACCGTAGGTGTCCTTTTGGGTTGTGTTGCTCGAAAAAGCAGATGGCGATTCCTGTAGAAAACCTGGTGGTGCAAGATCATCTACCAGGGATATCCCTCTATTTCCCCTAAAAGGGCACCTATGCTCACGACGCGCCTCACCGAGGAACTGCCTGTTGGTGTGTCTCAAAAAAGAACATAGGAACTTCTTCCCTCCCGAAACGACGCCCCACGACGCATCCGCCGACGCGCCTGCCTCGCCTTCCGCCCGCCGAACCGAGAAGCCACGAGGAACTGCCTGGACCTGGCCTCCAGGGGAAAGCTGGCGAACCTGGCGCCCAAGGTGGCGCTGCGCGCCATGGGCCTCCTGGGCACCGGGAACTCCTTCTACATGGAGGGCGCCTCACGCCATCCACGGGGTGGTTTGGGAGAAATGCGGGGGGGGGGGGGGTGTTTGCGAGCCCAACAGGGGGGGGGGGTCCTGGAAGTTTTGTTTTTTTTGAATGGGTCCTCTTGTGGTTGGATGACTTCTACTTGCTGAAATGAAGATATTTGTTCCTCCTGGTTTCGAAGAGAATCGATCTCAGCATTGGACATCTGTCTCTATTTCTTCGGGGCAAGAACGCAGATGGAGGTCGGCCAAGCTACCCACAAGATGGGCGTGCGAGACACAGGAATTCACACATGGCTCATGGGGTACCCTTTTCGGGTTGGTTTAAAGGGAAATCGGGGAAAAATACATGTGATCAATATTCCATTCGGCCAAATGACATGGGAAACATGCTTGATGTGGAAAGACATCGTTTGAGTGGCTTTCCCTTTTGTTCATCCCATGTACAAGACCATTTTTTACGGAAACTGCGGGGTGTTCCCCCTGTGCATGAACGTACCCTACCCCTTTGTTGACCCAGGAAAGGTGAGTTCCCTTTTGGTTGGGTGATGCTTGAAGGGGAAATATTGAGAAGCGCGCAAAAACACGCATTTATACCCCAAGAAGAACAAGAAACAAAGAGCAATACAAACAAAACCTTCAACATCATGATATTAACCAGGCTCCCGCCTGCTGCCGCCGACCCTCGGCGCATTAAGGGAAAAGTCACAAGGACCGGTCCTGAAACACGTCCGCAAACCCAGGGACCACTTATAAGATCCTCTACGACCACAAACAAAGATTAACGGAAAAGTCAGAAATATGGCAGCTAGTCCGTTAATTACCGCTTGGGCCGGCTTGCGCCCAAGTCACTTCAAGTTGGCCCGGGAGCGCCCTGAAACTGGCCCTCCCGAAGTTGCCCTGGACCGGTCGCCGGCAGGGACCGGGACAGGCTGGTCCCAGTCTGGCGCAGTGTCCTGAAACACGGGCGCAAGTCCGGAAAGGCGTCTGGAGCGGTTTGAGGTGGCAGGACTCCATCCGGGACCGGCTTCAGTCCTGAAAGCGGTCCTGGCCGGGACCAGTCCCAGGACCGGTCCCAGGACCGGTCCCAGGACCGGTGCCCCAGGACCGGACCAAACCCCGACCGGTCCAGGCCGGTCGGGACCGGTCCCAGGACCGGTTTTGGCTGACTACAAGTAATCTGAAACAGTCCCAGGACCAGTCCCAGGACCGGTCCCAGGACCGGTCCCAGGACTGAGGACCGGTCCCGGCACTTCCAGTTGCATCCCACGCCGGTCCCCTCTGCAGGAGGCTGGGACGGGAGGCAGAGGGTCGGCGGATTTGTACCAGGTATTTTCCAAGCTGAACCAGCCCAAGAAAAGCGGACACCTCAGCTTTTCCCAGCTCTCTGACGAAAATGTTACACACTTTTTGGGCCATGCTAAAGGGAGTTTCTTTGAAATGGGTGATGTTGAAAGGGAAATAGCGGGAACCCAACACTGCCACACCTTTTGCCCTTTTGCTCTTGTGGGTTGAGCGTGTAAGTCATGGTGGGAAATGGGGCTTCCGGGTCACTTCCCGTGATAAGGACGCCCTCGCCGGTCTCACCGAAAAGACAACCTTTCCCGCAACAAGTCTGAAGAGGTGCGACGACTATCATGCCTATGGGCCACGAGGATTCTCGAAAGCCAGTTGTGAAGTTGTATGCAGGGGGTGTCATAGGGACTCCAGGAAGCCAGCTTGGTTGTTGAGCTGTTTTCAGGTGTGTGGGGACTCCAGGAAGTCAGGGTGGTTGTTGAGCTGTTGGAAAGCCCGGTTGGCTGTATCTCCGGTTTTTCGGGGGGTCGCCTCTTTTTCACGCTACCATCCGGACTCCAGGAAGCCCGGTCGGCTGTTGAGGTGCGGGGTGTGGGGGACTCGCTGGGATGGAGGGTGTAGGGATCCCGCAACTTCAGAACCAACCTGGTCTCCCAAGAACTCCACCAACCTGGTCTCTTCCAACCTGGTTGTTTTTTAACCACTCAAGCAACCTGTTTTTTTTGGAGTCCTCCTGCCCAGGGATTCCATGGGTCGCCCCGAGGGGACGTTTTCGCGCATTCGGTGCCCGCGCATTCGGTCCCCGAGGCATCCGGAAGCCGGGGGCGGCGCTGGCGGCGCGGAGCCGCGCGGTGTCGCAGAAGGCGCAGGGCCAGGCGCCGTACCAGGACTGGGTGAAGCGGCTCGCTGGTTGAGGGTGGTTGGGGGAGGTGGGCGTGGGGTTGGGGGGGGTTGGGTGGTTGGGGGGGTGGGGTGGGGTGGGGTCGCTGGTGGTGCACACTCCAATTCTTCGCAGCACCCTGGCTCGTGTCCAAGAGAATCCACAGGGCGCTTTCCACTGTCTTTCCCAGTCTCTTAGGTCAGCTTCCCCTTACTTGGTGGGTTGGATTGGTGGTTTGGAGATTTGATTTCCTGGTTGTTGCGCAGGGTAACTGGGAGATTCCCACCCCCGGACCAGACCACCAAACCACCAATCCGCACCAGAGAGCAGCTGATGGGTTGATTCAGATGCATGCTTCATCCATGTTCCCATTTGACGTGTCAAAGTAGGTGGAGCCCCATAAATCTACAAATCGATTCCCCATTCTTTTCCCATTTGGCGTGGTCAAAAAGTTGTGGAGGTTCCCAGAAAAGCGTGTGGAGCACCAAAGCCAGCCTTCTCCAGGGGTGCTTGTACATACCCCGTTTACATACCAAATTGGGCAAGTGAAAAGGCCTGCTGATGTTCATACCCCTCTCCCCAAAAGGGTAAACAAACCCCTTGTAAAGTACTTCCACCCAAGCCGACCTGCAGCTTGACGGTTCTTGGACGTTCAGATCCTCCCCCTGCATGTCCTTTTTGGCTGTTTTGCTCGAAAAAGTAGATGGCAATTCCTGGAGAAAACCTGGTGGTGCAAGATCATCTACCAGGGAAATCCCTCTATTTCCCCTAAAAGGGCACCTATGCTCACGACGCGCCCCACCGAGGAACTGCCTGTTGGTTTTAGAATGAATTTACCCTCCTTCCCACTAACACGGCAACTGCCAGGGGGTCCCTTCAAAGGGAAGTTCCTCCCCACAGGTGCCATCTTGGTTGGAGGAAGGGTATCACTACTGTTTTTTTTTTTTTAGCAACACAATCCAGGGGTTAAAAAACCAACTGGAAGGCTCCTGCCCCCTTTGGGCGGATCGGAGCTGAGCTGAGGCTCCTGGAGAGTTTCATGGCCGCGAACAAGCTGTCGGAGTCCACGCAGGAGGCGCTGGAGGCGTTGAGCCGCAACCAGGCGACGGGTGGAAGGTGGGGTAGGGAGATGGGGTTGGAGGTGTGGGGTGGGAGGTGGGGTGGGGTGGGAGGTGGGGTGGGGTGGGAGGTGGGTGTGGGGTGGGAGTTGGGATGGGAGGTGGGGGAGGTGGGAGGTGGGGGTGGGTTTTTTTGTTGGTTGGGCTCCACAGGGTCTCAGGGTTGGGGAAACAACTGTAGCAGCCAGACCCTGGCCACCTTTACGAGGGAACCAACAAAGGGTTGTGAAAGCCACAGGTGTTTTTGGAATTGTTCTACGAGGGGGTTGGCCCAACCCTTTTCTCCGCAGTTGGCTCTAGTTGTTGGATTCATGGCTTTTTAAGATGGGGTCCACTACCCCAAACCACTACCAGGGCTTTGGGTCAAAACTAGCAACTACAATAGCCACTGTATAAAGGGCATACCTGTTTTTTTTGTTTTTCTTTGGGGTAGTGGTTTGCAGGTAATAAACACCATGTTGGAGTGATTATTTCATTTGCCTCTAGTTCTCAAAGGGAACTAGCCACGACCTCTTTTGCCTGTTTTTCAAGCTGATCCTGAAGCAAGGTTTGTTTCTCATGTTTAAATCCGTGTATCCGTTTATGCAGTCATTCATTGTTTCAGTTATGTATTCATCCACGCTTGTCTTTCTGTCTTTCTTTTTTTCTTTCTTTCTTGCTTGCTTTCTTTCTTGCTGTCTTTACGTCTTTTTGTCTTTCTCTCTTTTCTGTCTTGCTGTCTTTCAGTCGTTCTGTCCTTCTGTCTTTCTGTCTTTCTGCCTTTCTGCCTTTCTGTCTTTCTGTCTTTCTTCTTGTCTTTCTGTCCTTCTTTCCGACTTCTTTCTTTTTGAGCATTCTTTATTTCCATACGTATTTCTTCATTTATACTTACTTCTCCATTCAGCGAATTCAGGCATTTATCTATTTATTCATCTATGTGGCAGTTGGAGCGACATGCCAGCTTCAGCCTTCGCCTGGGTTGTCTGAGCTTCAAAAGCTCCCTTCGCCCCCTGAAGAACATATCTGGATGTCTGCATGTATTCATCACTTTATGGGGTGTTTTTACTCACCAAGTTCCCATGTCAAATGGGGACACAATTGCCAAACACTTGAAAGTGGCCCTTGGTGGCCCTTGGTTTCACCTTGCATTTTTTTTTTAAAACAGGTTTTATTTACTTATTCATCAGTTCTCCATGTATCGAGTGATCTATTCCTCTATTGACCTATTCCTCTATTCGTGTAAGAGCCACAGACAATCCACAAAGGCCCCTTCCCCCAGACCTCCAGTTGCGCAGGTGTTCTGCCTTCGTTTGGAGGTTCCCTTCAACAACCACCAACCCATTTTGCCCACCCTGTACGGGTCTGAGTGGGACCATTTTGCCCCATTCAACTCCATTTCATGTTTCTTGGAGTTTGGTTTGGCCGGGAAACCAACAGGAAACCCATGGCTGGCTGTTTTGGGGCCCGGTCCGATTCCCTATTTTAAAGACGAGCCAGCCATATGGTTTGAACCACTGTAGAAGAAAACCCTCTACTTTTGGTTTCCCACTCAGGGAATTGGGCTGTTCCGTTTAGCCTCGAAGTGGTCCAAACTACCAAGGGCCAACCATATGACTCTACTGCTATTGGGTTGGATCTTTAGACGTCAACTTTTTGGATACTTTTCATATTTCCTTTTATCCTGTAAAGTGTTTCACTTTTTGCTGGGGGATGCTTTGACCAACACCCAAATGAGTTCCTTCTTGAGGGTCAGCTGATTCGGAAGCCATCGCCTCCAAACCTCTTCGGCTCCAAACCGCGCAACAAGGGAAGCTGAAGGAACTCCATCAGGGTGTCGTGGTTTGAGGATCTCGGCTTTTTCCTTTTGGTTTTCCTTCTCGGCTTTTGGGTTCGGGGGGCCTCAAAGACGAGGCACCCATATTTAGTGTGGTCTATTGAAGGGGAGGCCATGCGGCACTGGCACACTCGCCAAAATACCAAATGGGGTGTGTACTCACCAAGTTTCCATGTCAAAGGGGGACACACTTGCCATAAACCTGACAGTGGCCCCTGAAACACCCAGAAACAAGGGGGACCGAGCCTTAAAAAAAGAAGACTCAGACCCAGAGTCCCCCTTCGTTGGCCAATGGACAATCAGTTGAAGGTTTTTGGCGGTTGACCATTTAAATATCTCCAAGGGACCGTTTTTTGAAACCAACTCGGACAAAACCCATGGACGGCTTCTGAAACACATCACTCGGCCGAAACGGCGAGCGGAGAACGAGCGAAGCTGGAGCGAAACGAGGCGCTGCGGGTCATGGGCTTCACCTCGCAGCTCCGGTTCTTGGCGGGCCCCGTGTACCGCGGGGAGGCGGAGCTAGAGGTGCGGACACGCCGCGCGGCGGAAGCAGCCGGGGGTAGGGGGGGCTGGGGGTGGAGGGTGGGGGGGGGGGAGGGGGTGCGCCACGCGGCAACAGCTGGGGGGTTTTAACCAAAAAAGGCGGAAAAGAAAATACGGGAAAAGCCGGGGGAGGGGGGGGGGGTTCACCAGAAAAGGCGGCAAAAGCACGGGAAAAGCCGGAGGGTCCATCCGAAAAGGCGGAAAAAAAACCGGGGAAAGGCCGAAAAAGGGGAAGGGGGGGAGGGTGCAGAGAAGAAGGTGGGCTCACTTGTTGGCGCTCCCCCCAAAAAATGGAAAGGGTTAGTTTTGTGTTGGTTTCCAGACGAAAAGGAAGATTGATTTACTTGTTGCCGTGAATCTTAGCTGGGGACCCTGTGGTGGACATCGTGGTAGGGATTCGTGTCCATCAGCCACTTTTGAGGTGGTTCCTCAATAGAACTCAAGGCCAGATGGCTTCACCTCTAGACAAAAGAGTTGGTTTTCCTTTTGCTTCCGCCCGAAATGGGCGTCCAAAAACAGAAGTTGGTGTACGTTTAGTTTGCCCAAAATTGTTGTTTTACCTTTCGGTTCCCCCCAGATGAGTCCTTTGGAATTCCTGAATGCCAAGCCGAAACCGGCTTCTTTCTTTGAGGGTACTTGTTGTTAGGGTTGGTTCTAGGTGGAAGCTTTTCCGAAATGAGTCAGAATGTCAATGCGTGACTCGTTGGACATCAGACATAGCCCAACCTTTTTCTTATATCCCCCATTTAGATTCATTGAGGCCCGTATCGGCCTTCCTTTTTGGTCTTTAAACCATCAAAAGGGTACGCCAACCGCTTGAACCCGGGCAACATGTGTTTGGACAAGCGTCGTGCTGAAGGTCCTTGAAAGATTAACCAAGCACAAGGGGGTTTTCCCTCAAGAAAGACCCACCCCTGTTTTACCCAGTTCTTTGCCCAAGCCTGACTTGGATCAAGGTTCCAACTAGCGGGTTCGGGATCATCGCCAGGGATGAGCTGCTTTTCGCATCGGGCTCGCCCAAAGATGAAGCAAAGTGGGGAGGCTATGCATGTCCCAGGATAGGAAGCCTCATTTTGCAGATGGCAATGTTAACCCCGGATGAAGCAGACCCCCTGGTTGAATTTGATCGGGGGGTGTCCAATTCCTTTTAAGTAGTTGGATTCAGACCACTTTTGGAGGGAACACCCCCTAATGGGACGGGTTCTACTTAGATCCTGGGTCATCATTCAAACCTTTGGGTTGAAGGCAATCGAGAGCAGTTGGTGCATTGGCCCCTCACCCCAAAAAGGCGTGTCTTGGGTGTCTTTTTTGAGGCTCGGTAGCTATGGGGTTGGTTTAATGGGAAACCAAAGCGACGACTACGCCTATTTGGAGGTTCCCCAACTGTGAATAAACGCGAACTCCATGTCGCACCACCGTTCAGAATCCCTGGAATGATTCGATTCCCCAAACCCTTATGGTTTAAATTCCATTGGATTTCGCAACCATCCACAGTATGAGACACCCCACCGTTTCCAGGGGGTCCCTATAGTTCCCTTTTTGGTGGGATTGGACATCACCCGTTTTGGCCCATGAAAGGTGAGAATCCCTTGGGGTGACGTATGGAGAGCCCTGTCATTTCTCCGCGTGAAAAAACCCGCCTGAGGCATCTGGGCGGTGCTCTCCGACGCGCCCATGGACCCCGTGCTGCCCCGAGTCAAAGGCTGGGCGTTGAAACGCGGGAAACACGGCGGTCGTTTCCCCCCCGAAAAATGCACGGACTACTGGCATAATAGGTGTCCTTTTGGTCGAAAAACAGATGGCGATTCCTGGTTTACCTGGTGGTGCAAGATCATCCACCAGGGAAATCCATCTATTTGCGCTCAAAGGACACCTAGGACTCCTGGGCGATTTGGGTTTTTGGAATGCACCGGTTTGGGCATGGAGCTCCTTTGTCTGGGGCACGGAAGCTTTGGCAGCCGGCCCCGTGCGGCGAATCTCGTTTTCCCCAAAAGGGCCACGAAGTCTGCGAAGACCGGGAAGGGCTCCAACTCTGTTTCTTCCATTTGCTGGAAGGACATTTTTTTCCGGGACATTTTCAGCTTGTTTCCTTCCATTTGCTGTTTATATATATATATATATATTTTTCCCTTGTTGGTTTTGAAGGGAATCTATCACTACTGGACACAAGGGGCGAAAACGCAAATGGAAGGTTTCTACTAGACGACTCAGGTGGCGTCTCCAAGAGACCCCCCCCCGTTCCAAGAGGTGGCTATGAAATTTATTGAGAGCTCTGGTGGAGACGAATCCCCAAATAAGATCCACAAGGTCCCCAATCAACAATCCATACCCATGTTTCAAACTACCCTTTGAGGGGAAATATGGGTTTGTCCCCTCCCCCCCCCCCCCCAAAGCGGGCAAGTTCCTTTTGGTTTCCGCTGAAAGGCACCCAGATGCACAGTTGCATCTTCAACCCCAACCACCATTGGCATGTGCACCGATCCGCTTTACGATTGCTCCTGCGCTGCGCGATCATCAAGTTGATTCGTCAACGGATGGTTTCCTGGCGAGCTCTTTGGAGAGCACAAGACTTGCACCCTTGGTGTGCGATATGCACAGTTTGGGCCCATTTTCATGTTGACCCCGGATTACTTTTTGCAAAGTACCCAACCCGGTTCGAACTTCCAGAAGCTACAGTAGAGACACAAATTTTCCCCATGCTCCAGCCAATCTCTGGCCCATTGTTCAAGTGAAGCTGAATCGTGTCCTGCACGAGATGGAACTTTTTCAGGGAGGGCTAATTACAACGGGGTGCTTTTGGTGGTCCAAGTGAGGAACGGTCAAAAGTAGTAGCCTGTGGTTCTTGATGGGGCGACTCGCTCAATTTTCCATGTCCTTTAGGGGCAGCCTTCGTAGTTTTCACCACGGCTGTGAGTTTTTTCCCCCGGCTTCAGGACATCCAACCGGTTTTCAGCGGGAATTCTGTGCCACGGCCAGTTCTGCACTTAAGGGTCAAAGGTTCCAAGACGCATCACCGAAGTGGGACGCAGCACCGGTTGTTCCGCCCAATCGAAGCCATGGGTTTGTCTCAAAACAGGCTGGGGGTTCCCCCTAGAATTGGCACGCCAGCGAATATCCAGTTAACCTCCTAAGCATGGAACCGCTTTCACAGGAGGGTTCTGGAAGGCGATCTTCCTGTAAAAGGGAGCCTCCCAAAAAGACACCCAAATGGACTCCTGTCACGGTTGTTGTTGGGAAACATTGGTACATTCTTGCTTCTTGTGGTTTAGTGGTTGAAATCCAAATCCACTTAACTGCTAGAATCTAAGTTTAGTAGGAAATCCAACCACTTAACCGCTAAAAAAACATGAACATTTGCTCCCTTCCAACGCCAACCAAGCTTTTGCTTGGGGCCACACCTGACTGCCCCGAAAGGCGAGGAGAAGAGCGACCGCAGCCGGAGTCCTCGCAGGAGCGACCCAAAAGATCATGGCAGCAAAAACTCGCCGCGCGCCGTCGCTGGTGTGTCAAGCCTTGGTGGCAAGCCCAGCCATCCGCTTCAACTTCGCTTTTTAGATCCCTTTAGTGTTTAGTGGCATTTCACCCACTAAAAGTTAAGCTTTTGGCGGGGATCTGAGGGCAGCCCAGAAACTAGGGCCCACCCCAAAATGGGTCCGGTCTTCTGAGCGAAGATGCAGCCATCTACTACTCCAGAATCTGAATGGAAGGTGTTCGCAGCCCGGATGAGCCAATTTTCTGAATTCACAAACCCGAAAATGTTCGCATGAGATTCAGACTTTGTTTGGCCAATCGAATGAGGAAGTGCCACCTTGCGAGCATGCCCCCCAAGACTTGGGAGTTCCCCAGTGAACAGCACAACGCACAAATCCAAGAAACAATGACTAGCAAGGTATGACGTAACACGAGTTCAGTAGAAGGTTATGTCGATCTCACAAATCAGCAAAGCACCGACTTCACGCACGCAAAACACGGCGGGGGGCGATTTCTACGGGTGTGAGACGTACAGATCCGTCCCGGCTTTTCTGGGGGCTCCGGGGCGTTAGCCCTGTTGACTTCTGTTGGCCAACTCATGTGCTAAGCAGCGCTCTAAGCTGTAACGACTCCAGTCACTGCCAGTAATGCCAGTGACGCCAGCCATGCAGTGGAAAGCGATGCAGGAATGCCAATAGCACATGTGTTCTGTCAGATTTCCTGGTGGAATCAGAGAGGCTGGTGGTGCAAATTCAGCCGTGCTTTCCGCCGAGGTCGCTCGAAGAAACATTGGACGAGCGACCCCGATCAAGCTTCGGCAAAGCAACACAGAACCCAGTAAACTTCATTTCTTGCTCTCTCTCTCTTTTTTTGGTAAAAAGGGTGTCACTTTTTTAGAGGACCCGTCATTTTCTCCAGCATTCCCAAAGTTCAAGCTGTAGCTGTGCTTCTTGATACCAAGGGAAGCCCTTGCACGGTGAAGTCATAGGGATGGGAATCCAGCTGTATCACAGATTTCGGGTTATTTCAAGCACCAGGAAACACAAGGGGCTGAATAAGTGACATCAGTTTTCCATGGCCATGGCGTATTTTGGGTTCGTCCTTGTTCGATGGAGCCGGCTTGCTTTTAAAAGGAGACCAAAGGACAACCATCGCGGAGGGTCCCCTATGGAAAGACAGTCCCATTCAGCTTTGTTGTTATCCCAAGCCCCAACTCCCATGATTCATTTAGACCCTTACCTCACTTCTACTCGTGGTCTTCGCTTGTTGATGCTCAGCAAGGAATGACCCAGGGTTTTGTGAATGAACCTAGGGATTCCCTCAAAGGAAGCCATAGGGATGGGTTTTTCTCGGGGTCCTTCCCTTTCTCCTTCCCTGCCTACCGAACCAGCAAGATTACTCTAATACTGCTCCTTTCATTTCATTGATCCTTGCAAAGGTTGGGAGGTGGGTACTATGGGTGCGTCTGTTTTTTAGGGACCCCTCCTCCCAACCATATTTATATATATGTATATATGGTTCCTTTTGGCTTCCCTTTAAAGATCACCAAAGGGCTTTCTCGTGTCGCCTTCGCAGGACGCCGGAGCAAGTCCCCCACTGGCAGCGCCACGTGGAGACCTTCATTGAGCTGAACGCCGCTCGCTCCTGACACGTCTGAGATGTTTTGGAGCGCACGCAAGCACGGCTTGACACGTAGGAAGTGAACCCATGCACATATGTGCATATGGATACATTTACGTTTGCACGTACGTTTACGCGTACGCTTACATGTTCATCAGCTTATATTACTTTACGATACATTGCATTGCATAACATAACATAACATGCACACATACGTTTTTTTTTTTTTTTTTTTTTTTTTTTTAATGTATGCATGTGCGTTATATAGATATGTAGATAATCACGTGTGAAGCAATACATATGTCCCAACTTGAGCCGAAGCATGCTTCTTGGACGTGAATCTTGTGGTGCCAACAAAGAAGGCGCGCTTGAAGGCCATCGTGCCCAAAAAAGACTCGCCCAAGTAGGTTGCGGGGAAACTGGTGTCCTATTTGGTGGTGAGAATGGGAGGGGCGGGGCCTTGATTCCGGATCCCTTGAAAACCATGGCCTCACAGACATAGGTGCTCTTTTTGGTTGTCTTATGGCGATTCCTGGTTTACCTAGTGGTTTCATCATGTACCAGGGCCATCTATTTCCCGTAAAAGGACGCCTATGCTCACAGAGAAAGGTCAAGCATTGTGTTTCGCGAGAGTTCCAGAACCCGACCAGTCATTTTCCGAGCCATCCGAGGCGAACATCTGGCTGTGGCTAAGAAATCGGGTACCCCCAGCCCCCACGTAGAAACCACACAACAAACTCTGTTCACAGCATCTTGGGAACTGGTTGGAACCAGTTGGAACTGGTTGGGGCTACCAGAAGCCTTCATCCCAATCCTACGTGTGGCACATGCTGTTTTTTTGGGGATACCTGCCATTTTTAGGACATAGTAGTGCCCTTTTACCCTTTTTTGGGGGAGGGTTCCCCTACAAGAATAGTTTCTACAGAAAAAAAGTTGGCACCCTTATTCTAACCTCTCAAATCTGGAGGACCGAGTTGATTAGATACATGGTTTTTGGGCAGATCACTTTGATACCAGATTTTGATTGCGACCTCCTAAAATAGTTTCTACAGGAAAAAACAATCGGGCACCCTTACTCTAACATCTCAAGTCTGGAGGACCTTTTGCATTCTTCGGGCCGTGGCATTTCGGGCGCCGAGAACCCTGGCGTCGTCCTTTGGTTTTGGTTCGGAGGCCCTGGACGAGCGCACGGCCGCGCTGCTGCGGGAGTCTCCAGCGCACCAGGCTAAGGATTTAGCCTGGGCTTTTCGGGGCTCCTTAAAAGAAATTCATGTTGCCACCATTTGAAACATGTTTTGCTTTTTCGACACCAAAAGAAAGGGGTTTCCCAGCATTGACAAGTTGCAATGTTCAGGTGTTTTTCATGAAAGGATTCCGGTTGAATGGGGCAAGAACCCGTGGGATGTAAGCCTTTTTGGGGTTGGACAACCCAATCAGAGTGGCCCAAGTTGGAAAGAAACCTCACTTTTTGTGAGTTCCTGGACTTGAAACTCATTTCAGTCGTAAACAATGGGTCGGTTTTTCTGTGCCAATCCACTCAGAAAGCGAGACACTTTTTTTTTCCGGGGCGTCCCAGTTTGGAAGACCCAGCTGACTTCACCGGGGGAATCGGGGACAGAGTTTGGTGGCATCACCTGGGGGCCAGAGGCGAGGTTCGATCCTTTTGCTGGTCCGACATGCCCCAGACCACTGCTTTGACGCCATTTTTGTTGTTTTTCGTTTTGCTTATTTTCTCCCGGAGCAGCTACCAGAAGAGAGAGTGCCTTACTTCCCATGGCCACTGGACGTCTGGGATGTGGACATCCACATCAGTTGGGATGGCTGAATTGGGACATCTAGAGAAATCTTTTCCGAGCGATGTGGTCCGGGTTCGGAAGGCCCAAAAAAAGGCGAAACGTGAAGGTTCTGAAGTTCCTCTCTCAGGGTCCGGAGGTCTCTGATATGAAGGAACATGGGGGAGCCCCCGTCAAGTACCATGAATTGGTTTCTTTGCAAGGGGAAACAGGGGAATCGTCGCCAGAAAGGCCTTCACTGTTCTTGGCATGTTTTTTAGTTTTTTAGTTTTTTAGTTTTTTGGTTCTGTTCATTTTTACTGGGGGTCTGCAAAAACAAAGTTTTTTGCTACCATACCAAGAGTAGAGATGAGGCCATGTGGCTGTTGCTGTTGGAAGAAGCCACTGAAGTGCGTCAATCCTTTGTTTCGCGGGACTGCGATGATAGCACGCGGCACACGTAGCCATTGGATCACTGAACTTTTCATCTGGGAAACATAATCCTCCTTCTAAATCTTCACTGGATTTCAGTTTCACTACAAGCCATTTTGGTTGTTCCCCGGACTACGCTTTTGTCCATCCCCTGCACCATTTTTGTGGAAAAAGTTGGCATTTGCCCGTCTTGCTTGGGTTTCCAACAGATGGCTGGCTCCCTTCGAGGCGCCCGCCAGTCAATCCAATGTCAAGCCTTCAGCTGCAAGGGCGCTGCAAGCCCCGGGTTTGTGGAGTTTTTTTGGGGTTTCCGGTTTCCCTGCCCAGGAAGCTGGGAAAGACAAAAACATCGCGGTTACTGGTCGCTTTTTGTTTTTGCTTTTGCCTTCACCACAGCTCGTGAGAGCACAGCTCCGCGGCTTCAAAGGTGCCGCCAGCCAGTGCGAACATGTCACACATGATGGACACCAGTTTCTTCCAGTCTGGAGTGGCCGAAACAATCTTTGACGCAATGGTCTTTGTCCCGGAGTCTGGAGACTGCCGGTCAAATCGTTCTTTTTGTTGGAGACTTCCAATTGATTTTGAGTTAGTTTCCCCGAGCCACCTCCTTCAAATTTCTGGCTTGTGCCGATGAAATCCGTGTTTTTGGTGAGACTTCAACTTGACGTTGTGGTGATTTTCCGTTAATTACCTGTCTTTTCCCCTGAAGCTTTCCCTTTCTTTCTTCCTAAGGGGGTTTTTTCCTGGTTTTGCCGGGGGGCTTGGCACCCCAAAACTCCCCCAGACTACCACATAGAAATTTCTCCCTCGCTCGCTTTTGGCGCGCGGCCCTGGGAGGCGCTGCAGGTGACCGGGTTGGTGGGCACCGAGAACTCCTTCCTGATCCGAGGCGCTCTCGCCTCGCTCGCTCCAGTCGGGCAGAGCGCGGGGGGAGTCGGGGGAGTCCCTCGCGTCGGGGGAGTCAGGGGAGTCAGGGGAGTCAGGTAAGTCAGGGGAGTCGGGAGTCGGGCGAGGAAGGCGCGGGGATTGGATTTTTGTTTTTTGCGAGGGGGGGGAGGAAAAGAAGAAGCAGAAGAACAACTCGTTGAGGCGGCACGAGCCTGAAGGGGATCCGTGGTGTTTTTTTTCCCTTCGTTTGTTTGTGTGTTTTTTCTTTGGGGGGGGAGTGATGCAATTCCTGAGCTCGCAAATTCCGGGTTGCCAGGAGGTCCAATCAACTGGAACTGGACATGTTGAAAATCCAACTGGAAGCCCAAGGAGATCCATTCCTCTGAGCCGCATGAGCTCCAGCTGGCAAGGTGAGGGCCTGAAGTCATGGAAATCGGCTTGGAGCGAAGGTTTGTTTCTTTGTGCCAGTTGCAACCAAAGGGGGCCACATGTATGTACCACTCCCCAGATGAGGACCAAACCTTTCTGGGCTTTTCTGTCGTGGGGTTCCATGGTTCCATGTTGATTTGCAGGGGAGTAGATGGTGGCTTGGAAGGAAGTTCGGAGATTCCTTTCAAAGCCATGGTGTTGAAGAAACCTCCATGCTGATTTGCTGGAGAAGCGTGTTTTGCTCGAAGAGACTCAACTGGCTTATGAGGGCCTATATCATTGTAATGGGGTTATGGTGCTACTTTAAAAACCATTTGCGTGCTGTAATACTATAGGAGACATCGTGCGTTACCTGACATAGCAAGACATCAGGCACTGTGATGTTGGATCCCTTCTGCTTGCGAAACGCGGTGATTTTGAGTTTTTCGTGGAGGTCCATCATCCCATAGCACTAAAATGGGTGGTGCACCTGCCGCAAAATGGTACCATTGGTGTTGACCCACGGCCATATTTCCCCCGCGCGGTTTGGTTGACGTTAGCACCGCCGGGCTGGGGCCCGTTCTTTTGCTCGGAGTGCGTTGGAAGGCGTGCGCCAGACCTCCGCGGCGGTGGTGAACCGACTCCGCAAGGCGCTTTTTTGGGGCTGGATGGGGTGCCGTGTAGGGAACTCCCAGTTGGCGGATGAAAAAAAGGGTTTGGGGATTTGGATTTGAACTGCTGGCTGTAGAGGGTGGATAGGACGCCACCCTCTAAGCTCCAAACCACCAGAGGGGAGCTGAATGTTTGAGAGGTTCGTCAAGATATGGATGGCTCGGGGGTTTTCTAGGGGATCCCCCCCAAATGACTGTTTTCCTTTTGGTTTCCCTTGAACCACCACCAAAACAGGTGGCAACCTGAAAAACAGACACCCCCCGCAAATTCTGATTTCCTTGCTTTCTTGTTGCTCAGCAAGGCACCAATTTCGGAGTTTGGGAAACCGAAGGGTCAGTTCCTCCCCTGAGTTCCTGGACTGAAAGTGCTTGTTGGGAGCATTCCACTGGCAAGCAAGTGACTTGAAGGATTGTCGGTACTCCGGGTGAATTTGGGTATGTGTCAAAATTGGGAACCCCCCCCCCAACTGGTTGCCCCAGGCGGTCAAAGAAAGCAAAAGGCCCCATCTTAATCAAGCCAAGTTGGCGAAGCGCCTGGGGGGGTGTTCGAACTGTTTGCCAAGGGTTCCAGGGAGACGCAAAGGCACCCGTGATGGCTCATGGCGATACGAGCGCCTCCCAACGCATTCTCGCTTTGGGGACTCTTCTGGACGGCAAACAGACCGCCGAGGGCCGCAGCCTATTGTTGACCCGACCTTCTTTAAAAACAAACAATAAAAAACATGGGGGAGTCTATGGTTTTTTCCTCAATGCAAAGCCAAGAGCTGCCAATCCACGCAAGAGCCAACATCTGCTTTGGCGCATTTTGCTTGGCTGTTAGGACTTTAACTTTTTGTCAACGAATGGGTTTTCCCACTAAACCACTAAAAGTTAGTCACAGGGGAGCAGAAAGCAACCGAGTTTGTCTGGGGTGTGTGTGCTCCCAAAGGCTCTTGGGAGCTAAGGAACCGGGCAGCGGCTCGCTTTTTTTTTGGACGAAGGTGTTGATTTTCCCCAGGCACGCCCTGTCTGCAACCCTTCGAACACAATCCCCCCCCCCAAGAAAAAAAGAACAGCACCGGTGGGCCTCTCGGCCAAGACCCGAAGCTTTCGGGTGAACAAGGCCGCCCGGTTTCGACAAACAGCCTCTGCCAAGGTGTGTGGTCGAACCGCATTTCTACTTGCGATTTGGTACGGGGGTAGTCATGGACCCCCTCCCCATTGCGGCAAGCAGTCCCGACCCATGCGACTGCATCCAGCACCCTCCGACTGCCCAGCGGCCGGTAGATCTTCCAACAAGAAGGGGCCGTAGTTCGGACAAGGCCCATCTGTTGGTTCATTGCGCAGTCTTTTCTCACTTCTATCTCTTGCGGCTTTGGTCGCAAATTTGCCACACCCCTAAAAAATGTTCCCCTCGTGCTTGATATGGGTCCACATGTGTCTGTAGTGCCCGTGGTCAGCCTGTGGGAGGGTGGATGCTGAATGTCTCGGGCCATAGGCGCAGGAGATGAGCTGCGGCCGGGAGCCCTTCTCGCAGCTGGCCAAGCTCATGGAGGCCATCGAATCCAGCGGCTGAGAGTCGGTGGGATGGGCGGCGGGAAGTTCCGGGCTCCGGCGGGCCTCGTTCCGTGGTTCTTTTGTTGTTGTTGGTGGCTTTTGGACACTGTCAGGAGGCTGCAACAGGGTTTTGTTTGTTCTATTTTATTTTTCACAAGGGCTAGTATACTTGTTTCTTTTTCTTGTTTGGTGGGGTGTCTCTTTTTGCCTGTGTGTGTGTGTGTTTGTTTGCAGTGCTTTGCTCTTATGACAGGTGTTAGGGGTTCTATGAGGTTTTCGTTGTTCTGTTTTTTTTCTTTCTCGTTTTGTTTGTTTCTGGAAGTGCCTTTGTCTTTCTTTGTACGGGTAGGGAGTTTGGCGGGGATGGTTGGGGGCAGGGATTGTGTTTGTTGGAAAAAGATAACGGGCCGTGTTGACACAGGGAATTGTTTAAAACATCTGTTTTCAAATATATCTTTGTATCACTCAGTTCGAGTTCGGGCTTGATTCACATCGTCCACGCTGCAATGGACTCAGGACCATCGAGATTTGAGGACACCTATCCCCAGTCATCCTGGTCCCTGCAATAGCCCTGGTTGGTGAACCCCCAAGCACGCTTCCATGGTTGTTCTTGGGAAACATGTGTTACATTTTTGCTTCTTGTGGTTTAGTGGTCGAAATCCAAGTCCACTTAACTGCTAAAATTGGTTTAGTGGTGGAAATCCAAGTCCACTGAACTGCTAAGATTTGAGAATGTTTGCTCCCCAAACCCAACGTCAACCAAGCTTCGGTTCGATCGGCTTGGCCTCCCTGGGGCCCCGCTGCTTCCAGGACTTCGTCAACGTGAACCGCCTGGAGAGCCACGTGGCCGATCGCTTCCGAGGCGAAGCGCCGGGATGTTTTTTTTTTTTGGTCACATTGGGCTTTTGGTTCAGAGAGGGGCTTGGATGCAACGCCGCGTTTTTTTTTTTCTTCTTTGTTTCTCCCCGGAGGCTTTGGTTCTGAAAGGTGGATGCTTGCGTGAAGATTGAAGCTCAGCTCGTTCAAGATGGTGAATCTGTGACCCGAATGACCAAAGCCGCAAGGGTAGGTGTCTGCTTTGGTTTCCAATTCGGAGACTAACGTTCTCCTCTCGGTGGATCGATCCCGAAGATCCCAGTGCAATGGTTGAAACTCTTCGGCTAACCGCCCGGATGTCCGATGGCTTTTCTCTGGATGTGCGGATGTGGCATTTGTGGACAGGCATGAAACATAGGCATCCTTCCAAACACATAGGCGTTTTCGCGGTTTGCCATTTGGCTCTTGATGGCTATCAAAAACAGTGTTGGCAGGAAACATGCATGGCAAACCACCGAGACTTGAACTCAGCACGGCGTGCCAAGAGGCGCTTGATGCGCCTGCCTCTCCTGGACTCCTCAAAACAACTAGGTCCCCTTTCTCACCCTTTTTGGGGGGGAGGGTTCCCCTACTATAATCGACTACAGAAAAAGGGTACCCTTCTTCTAACCTCTACTGGAGGACCTAGACAAAACAAATCCAATGGCAGGCAATGCGCAGTGTTGCAAAAGCTGTGACAGATTCGTTGCTTTGAAGGAACGCTAAGGCCATGTTTTTGAGGAGTCGAAATGGGAACGGCACGACATGCAAGGACTTGGAGATAGTTGAGAGGTGCCCTTTCCCCCTTCTTGCCCAGCCTTCTTTCTTCTTGGGCAATGGCGAGGGCGCCGGACCAACTGTGAGTCCAGAACACGGTGAGGTGGCGAATCTGCGGATCCATTTGTGGATATTGAAAGACAATTAAAGAAGGGCCAACAGGGGGAGGCAAACCCCACAAAAGGCGCATCCAGACTTAGCATGACCCTGCCGAGTGCCACGTCCAATTGCGAATTCGGGGCGACTCGCATTCTGATGATGCCTGGGCTGTTCATTTGCGGCGGTTTTGGGAGCTCGCAATCAGGGTTGAGCAAATGGAGCTGAAGCAACTTGACCATGGACGCCGGGGGACATACATAAATGAGGTTGTTCAAAGGTCTCGATAGTTTTCACAGCACAATTGGCTTAAACAGGGTTCAAAGGTGGGTGGTTGTTCAAACAGATTGTTCGGGCCGCAAAGAGGTTTCTAGGGGTAACTTCCATGTCCATTCTTTCCAGGGATCCGGATCTTTCTAGAAAACCACCAAAAACGCCGCGGAAACGGATTCGGTGTTTGAAAAGAACGATGGCTGAAAGGAATGGAAACGGAACCAACCCCTAGAAGGTTGGTGAAACCGCCCCTTTCTCAGACGGCTCGTTCCGCCGGTGGTCTACGCCCCTTAAAATCCCCACGCCCAGCGGACGAAAACGAAATCCCTGCGGAGGCCTACCTCGGCAGCAGGCGCTCGAGGCAGCGGAAGTTTGCCTTTGGGGCCCCCAATCCTTGGCTTTGCGGGACTCAGGCAGAAGGAGGATTATTTTTGCCCCATTGCCCGAGCCTGCTTGTCCAATTTCCCATCTTTGAGTGGGAAGGAAGGAGTCACATCGACTTCCGCTTGAAGGTTCATTCGACGATATTTCAACTGTTTGCTTTCTGCGAGTCGGGCGACTCGTTTCTTCATGTTGTTTTCCCCACCAATTGGTGACCCTCCCTCAAAAGTCGCGAGGTAGCAGGGCTCCCTTGAAAGGGATGACCCTCTCGACGGGTCCAGAACTCGGAGCTGTCGGCGACGGCGACGGCTGCAAAAAACCTGAGCGACCCGAGCAATCAACCACAAAGCCATGGCACGTCTTACATTTTTGCGGCGGATAAACGAATTTGTTTGTAAAAAGGTACTTAAAGGGGCATTTTACTTAGTAAGTGGCTAGTAAGCCTGGTTATATACCCACAAAGGCCATGGTTATAAGTCTCCTAAGTGATACAAAGCTATACATGGGTTTGCGTAAATAAAACAACACACAAATAAATACACCTATTGCTGAATAACTATGTATACATATATATATATATATTAATATAGATATAATAATCACAGATACATATATATATATATATGCAAATACATGCACACACACACACAACTTCCACAAGGGTCCAAGTTTTTAAGACACAACCCAGTGGGCCGCTCAAAGTTCAGGAGCAGGTAGACAGTTTCGGCAGGTTGCGCTTCTTTTCAGTCCACGCCGCATTTAATCTGGTGGATGGATACTGTGGATGGTTGCGACATCCGTTCGCACCACTGTTCGGGGCAGTGTCGAAGAAACATTGATCATGAGACCTGCAGAGCCAAACAACCTAGGTTTTGTTAGTTGCGTCGCTGGACCTCTTTGGATGGACGAAATCCGTTCGCACCGTTCAGAAACCCAACGGAAGGATTTATGATCCCCCAACGTAAATACCAATAAACGCTATGTTTTCAACCATGGTTTCAAATGGTTTCAACTGGGTGCGAACGGATTTTGCCCATCCACAGTAGGGGGGTGTACGATCCCCAGTAATTCAGATGGGATACACCCTACTTTGGATCATCCTGATTTTGAGTAGTCCTGGGTTGATGAATCCGATCCCAGCAACGCGTGGACCGGTCAGGTGATGGGTTTCGCTGCGGCCTTAGCTTCGCGCTTGGAGCCTTTAGGTGGGCGAATTCATGGAGACTCATCTGTGTTGGCCTTGCGCCAAAACTGGAAAGGGGCATCTTCAACAAATAAACCCGTGGACCAACAAAAACGAGGGGCTGAATCAGTCTGCCCAAAGGCAGATCCTTAGATGAGCCTCAATCAACTTTTGGGTAGATGAAGGATAGTAAGGGACACTCCCGGCATCATAAATTTGGTGCGGGACTCCGCCTGTTCAATTCCTTACATGGTTCTGGGGTCACCATTTTCGGTGCATCAGGTTTTGATCATGACTCGGATGGGTGTGCAAAGTGCGGATCCTTCGGGTTTGCGTCCCGTTTGAGCCCTCCAGGTTGGCTTTTATGAGTGTCCTTGCTTGAGGGTACGGAAGCCAGGAAATCCGAGGCCCTGTTTTTTCTGGGGGGAAGGCGGGGGGCGGTCCCTGGAGACAAGACCACCTATATATCTTTGGTGCTTTTTGCTTGGCTGTTAGGACTTTATTTTTTTGCCAACTAATGGGTTTTCCACTAAACCGCTAAAAGTTAAACTTTTAGAAGGGCTTCGCAGATTTCGCAACCGAGATATATAAGTGCGGCGACTTGAGCTACTCTTTTCCGCACCTGGATTCTCTGGAGACCTCCCCGCTTTAGAGGTTCTTATGCCTGACAGAAACTAGCTGGTTGGAAGGGAGCTAAGGACTCGGAGCGGGAGCCGGATATCCAAATTTGCTTTTGCAGAGAGAGCTACACAGCTACCAGTTGTTCTGGAAGGACCTGGTAGGAACAGTCTTGGGGTTTTGTTTTTTACCCGCAATTCATCTGGGACTCGGCGACTCAAAATCCCGGTCCATCAGCTTGCGTGATAGGTTGAAGGAACCATCTTCTCCCAACCAAAAGGGTGGCTCGTTTTTTTTTAGGATTCCCCTTTTGGGGTGGCTTCATGGGACACCGCAGGACACTCACCATGTTTGGGGCATTTTGAGACACACCCCAGACATCTCCCCATCCCACGAGCTTTATAAGGCAATCCAGCCTTATGCGGCTGGGTTGTGGCAGCAAGGGTCAAGTTTCTTCCAGATGCAACTGGCAGATTAACAGCAACATGCCGTTTGGAAAGGCCGGCTTATTTGGTGAGCTGGTTTTGGTTGGGTACACGTGGAGAGATAGGGAATGCATGATCCTTGAAATTTCTAGAACACCCTCCAACCACCACTGCTGAGTTGGCAATTGATCATTTTGTAGCCTTCTGTAGCCTTCATGGAGTTGGCAATTGATCATTTTGCAGCGCGGAGTTTCCAACACACGCTCAATCAAGAGAGGAGCCTCGGTAATGGAGGCTTTTTCCATGTTGAACATGCAGAGTCCCATGTCTCTCTTGGATTCACCCGCCAAAAAAATGCCCGCAGACCCCCCAATGCCGCCGAGGGCAAAGACGCGGCAGATTTTATCATCAAGGCGGGGCAGCGTGCCCTTCCTGGGATGGTTCCCAAAATGCTAGACGCCGTTGGTTGTTAAGGGAAGCAAACAATAATCCAGCCATTTTATATAGGGGTCCACTATTCTATTACCACCCCCCCGCTTTTGTGATTACCACATGTGTTGGGGTGGCGCTAAACGACGCAGCAACCCAAAACCCGCGTGTTTTTTTTCCCCCAGGGTTCATGTTGTTTTTTCCCTCAGCCCGTTTAAATGGAGTGATGTTTGAAGGGTTTCGGTATTTTTCCCCAAAAGCTCCACCTATGAGATCCTGGGTTTGAGGAGGCGGTTTACAAGCAAAGATTTCCAGAAAAAGGTTGCGGCAATGCTCTTGGGGACGGGAGGTTTTTCCGTTTTGTTGTGATCCTTTGAGGCAGAGTGGACTTGGCGACTGGGCACGGTCCCGGCAATTCAGTCGATGGGATCTGTGGCTCGAAAAAAGAGCAGGCTTTCTGCTTCGAACGTCGCGGGAATAGCCCTCTCCCCCGCTCCGAGTAAGAATCAACCAGGTGCTGAGCCAATTGGGTCAATAGAGCCCGATGGTCAGTGTCGTTGTTCTTGGGGTCATCCTGGCAACCGCGTTCACATTGCCTTTTCTTCTGGAGGAGCAAAGGCAGGCTTCGGTAGTGTCACCGGCCCGGAGTTTCCTGGATTTCACACCTTTGTGGGAAGACAATTTTGGTGGTAAACCAAATTTAAAGAGAAACACATGCCATTAAAATTACACTTTCCTGGGACTTTTGGTTTTCATTTAACCCAAGCTGAAAGTTCAGGTGCCCTCAAACAACACACACACACAACCACACACTCACACTCGTTTCAGGGATCCTTCTTTTTTTGTTTTTTTTCAGAAAACCAAAACCACAACCTACCCGAAAAGGGAACCCTGTTAAAGAAAGCTTCTCGTGCTTCTTCCTGCTCGCAGGGGGACCCCACGGGCGAGGTGCTGCGGCGCTTGGACGAGAAGTGAGAGAAAAAGAGCCGAGGGCGCTGATCCGGGGGGGGGTCCAACGAGGAGAAGCTCCAAAAAAAAAAGATATAAAAAGAATCCTGAGAACAGAGTGAGAAAAACCGATGGTTCTAGGGGTACCTTCCATTTTCATTCTTTCCAGGGATCCGAATTTCTTTTCAGGAAACCATCAGGAACCCAGGGGAAAGGGATCCGGTTCCTGAAAAGAACGAGGGTTGAAAAGAATGGTTGGAACTAACCCCTAGAACGGTAAGGATCCTTGACTTGGGGATCCCTTATTCAGCCGACTGTGTCACACGGAGGCTCACCGAGAGAAGGGATCCTTTATTCTTATGTCATAGTTCAGGTTTTGGCATGGCCGAACCCCAGAACCCCCGAGACCCCTTGGGACACACAACATGGCTTCGGTTTTCCTATTTCCCTTGAAAGCCAGCCAAAATCAGGGTACCCTCAGAAAAAGACACACCCACCTAAGACCATTCTGCCTCAAGCAGGCCTGTTTTGAGACACCAATTTAGAAGCGCCCCAATGGTGGAATCCAACAATTGTTGCACACTTTGTTTAGAGAACAGTGAGATTTCAACCACTAAACAACAACAAGCAAAAAAGCAAAATGTTTCCCAACAACAATCATGCAACCAGCCAACCAACCAGCCAACCAGCCAGCCAGCCAATGTCAATCCAGAGCCCGACATGGTAGGCATCATTTACATTGGGATTTATGCAGTTCTTCATTTCTTTTTTGGTGAAACTCATAGCCGATTTCCTGAACCGAAATCGAATGTTTTCTCCACCAGCTTCCCCGTCCTTTCCCCACCCATCGGGGCAATCCGCGCAGGACCAGTATCGCCTGGCCTCGGTGGGCCACGACGGGCAGCTGTCCGGTACCCACGGGTTTGGGGGGGGACTGGGGGGTGGGGGTGCAAGGGAAGGGGGAAGGACATGAGGGTGGGGGGCATTGGGGGGGGGGGATGTTGTGGTTGTTTTTGTGTGTTTATGTGTTTTTTTGTGTTTTGCTTTTTGTTTTGCTCGATGGTAAACATATAGGCATTGTTCTTTGGCTTTGTCTCGCTAGGTCCTCTTGCCGTTTCCCAGTGAATGTTGCTCTATGCTAGTGTATGTGTATAGGCCGCGCCATAGGCAGTTATATGCTTTCCCCCAATCTCCGCTTCATGTCTTTTGGCCGCCACGGAAAATAAGTCGAAAGGGGAAGGGGAGGGTTTTGCTTGTAAAGATGTGAAGCGGCCCAGGCATCTGCCGGTTGAACTGTCACAAGTAGATCTGGATAGCCAGGATAAGCCCCTAGGTCCCCCAGTAGTGCTCTTTTACCCTTTTAGACTACAGGAAAAAGGGTACCCTTATTCTAACCTCTCTACTGGAGTCCAGACCCAGAAGGGATTAATATGGGATAGCCCCCCCCCCCCTAGGCTCCCCTTAGCCTTGGGTGCATGGCCTTACAAGGAAACGGCATGTACAAGGGACAAGTCTCAGGGGGCGCCCCTTGAATTTGGCAATGGTAGCCTATGCGCAACTGAAAGACTGATTGGTAGTTTGAGGAGGACACAGGAAAAACTGGGGCTAAGCCTGCGATTCTTTCCCCCATGTCCTGGGACGAAATCACTTTCTCTCGGCGCTTGGAGAAAAACAAAAGCTTGGTCCATTTTGAGAGAACCCCTTTTTATGTTGACTGCAACAAATGGTTTGGGGTGAGGATTGCAATGTGTGGAGTTTTTCAACATCTGGGATTTCTCTGTGTATGTGGCTGTGGGGTCAAAACCAATGGTACCATTTTGGGGTAGGTGAATTCACCACCCATTTTCGTCTATTTAGTGGTTGGATTGGTTGATGTTCACTGGGGGTACGATTTGGCTTTTGACCCGTGGCCAGGCTTCTATTTGGGTACCCTTTTTTGACCCACAGTCATCTGGGATTTCTTTGGGTATGTTACTGATGAATGCTTCCGAAGTATGGGCCATCGACATCGATTTTTTGGGGGAGCATAGCCGAGTCAGTTTCGGGGGGGATGCACAAAGGAGGAGCTCAGCGAGAAGTCCGGGTGTCGCTTGCTTGCGGAGTTCTCTCTTTTTTCGGGTTTGTGAACTTATAGTAAGCTCCATGGTTGTTGTTGGGAAACATTTTACATTCTTGCTTATTGTGGTTTAGTGGTTGAAATCCAACCACTGAACTGGTAAAATTTATTTTTTTGCTCCCCTTCCAACGTCAAGCAAGTAAATGGCCCAGGTAAGATTCAGGAGAACTTCAGGGTTGCTCCGAGCCTTCGAGAGAGTTTTTTTCCCCAGACCTGACTTCCATTTGCTTCAGAATATGTTTTGTGACTTTCCCTTGCTGGTTTTAACAAACAATTATCACTACTGGAATACTTTTTTGTTTTTTTTCTTTCGCAGGGGTCTTAACCAAATGGAAGCTGAAGTTGGTAGAAGATCGCACGGTTTCCTTGGTTTCCCTGTTCAGCGCCCCAGGGAGTTCGGAGCAACGAGCTCCGACGGCCTCATCTTCTTGCGTCGATGGCCTCACCTGTTCAACGCTCCCCGTGACAAAGGCGACAGGCCAAAGGGAAGCCAAAGGATGCATCTTTGGTTTCGCTGGTTTTCAGGGAATGAGCGAAATCTGAACCATCCCCTGTGTCCGTTGCTTGGGATTCCCAAGCCGCTTGTCTGAAAAAGAGGGCGGATCGGTCCCCTCGAAATGCTGAGGTGTGGTTTTGGTTTCCCTTGAAACCCAGCCACCAGGTGGTTCCCACAAAAAAGACACACCCTAGATAGCCGGGTTGCGATCGCTTTTTTCAGTCACTGTTGCGATCGATTTTTGGGGTAAAGGGCGTGGGGGGGGGGGGGGGAAAACAAAAAAACAATCGCAACTGGCGATCCAGGACCCAAGTTCTCCCGTGCCAAGGGGATGGACCGCTACATACGCCTGCGCAATTTTTTGGGCTCACAGAGATCCGCCCGCGGCGGTATAGCGCCCATGCGAAGGCGAGGTGGGGCAGGACTTGGAGTGACCACCCCTTGCGGTTGATTTGGAGGGAAACCAAAGCTTGGTGGCTCCCAGCCATCCGGTTCACCTTAGCTTTTTAGATCCTTTTAGTGTTTAGTGGCAGTTTCCATTTAACCCACCAAAAGTTAGTCACTTTTAGCGGGGGATCTGAGGGCAGCCCAGAAAGGTTTTGAGACCAACCAATGAATCACCTGCCTTTTGCCTTGGAGCCAGTTTGCCCGACATGGCAGCGCCCAGACCCGAGTTGGGAAGATGATTCTCCTGGTGGAAAGGGTCGCATGAAAGGTGTGGTGGACTTGCCACACCTCAGTTCTTCAAAGCGAATCGACCGGATCTGACCTTTTGGTTTCCTTCGTTTGGTTTGCATTTTTAGTCATGGCTCCAAAAGGTGAGCACCTTCTCATTTCTGGATCCCTAAGCAACGCTGCATCTTCCTCAAGCTCCAGTGGAGTTTCAGCCATTCAGTGGATTTTGTCCACGTATTCCTATGCGTTGTTGTGGCATGCACAGCGAATGGCACGAGAAGTTGCAAGGCTTCTTGGAGCACTTGTCAAGCCTTGGCTCCTCTTAGCTGGCTGTGTCGTCCTTTTCTGGGAATCGGACCGCACAAAATGGCGGTGTTCCTCTTGGTGTTCCTTTGACAACCACAAGCAACAGGTGGCCCATGGGTCATAAACTATGCCTCCATCTTGGGGCGGATGAACACCCATGTACCACCTATTTTGATGTTCACCAGGGGTGCAGGGTTTTGACCCACAGCCAGGTAACCCTGTGCGTAGCAGCGAATCCATCCGCTGCGTGTCTGGCTCAATCGCCGAAGTTGCGATCTTGCCCTTTCGCCATTTCCTTCGTCGGCCGTTTTCCTCTTGTTGCCATGGCGGATGCACTAACCAGCCTTGGCAAGGCCATGTTTGACGATGCGGCTCGGCGGCGGTTTTCTTTTGGCCTGTGTTTCGGAGTCACTTGGGGTCTTGCGGGTATGCCAAGCTAGTCCCAAAAAGGGCCAGTGTTTTGGTGGCACCGTTCTTTCGTCTTGGTTTAATCTCGTGTCTCAAAAAACGTGGCTTCCCTGTGGCTTCCCTTGACGCCGATTTTAAGGAAACACGTCTCTCTCCTTTTTGGACAGTGTCAAAAGCATGACGTACCTTGGAACGGTGGCAGGCCTGAGGCTTCGGCCCCCAAATGGTCTGAACTACCCGAGCCTTGCCATGGGAATCCACCGGCTCCCGGTCCAAGCAGCTAGATGTGAAGGCGCAAGAGCAGATTCCTTCAGCCGATGGGGACTCGGTGTCATGGAAAGCCACGTCTTCAGAGTGGATGTTGTTTGCAGGGAAGGCCAAAGATACACTTCTCCCGCAATACAAGTCTTACCTTTCCCACCAAATCAACGGGAAGTTGGCATTTTGGGGGGAAATGTTCAGCTGGATAGAATAAGAACACATCCTGGTCATGGGCGGTGAATGTCAGCTGCTCGCCGTAGGGGGGTCTGCCGTTTACCCTTTTTGCCCAGTGGAGCTCGGGTTCTCCACAGAGGGTCTCACACCTGGCAAAATCGGCAGTTTTCCGAGTTGTCCCTTTGGCTTCCCGCAAAATGGGCACTGGTGTGTCAAGTGTCTCTTCACTGACCATGCGATTGTTACCCTTGCACGAGCATATGCTACACCACCTAAAAGCACTGCACGGGCGGATTGAAGGGAAGACGTCAAGGCACTATGATTCTACACGAGTGAAAGTAGATGGCCCCACTCCCTTCATGCAGGTTAGTAGAGGGGATGACAAAGGCAACATCCACTGGAGCTGTGCTATCTGCCTTCACACAACCGTGTGTGCCATGGTCAAATCTCCTTAAGTGGGTCCTGGTCGTCGGACGCTGTCTCGAGGGTTGGTGATAGGCACTTTGGCCCAGATGGATCGAAGCAAGATGAGATGAGACAACTACCCCGACACCTTAGCAATAATAATTTGCAGCTTTTCCAGAATGACGTCACATTGAAGTATGGCGTCCACAATAATGTTGGAGAGTGATTAATAAAGGCCCCCCCCCTCAAACGAATTGGGGGGGTCAATAGCGAAAACCCTAAAAACAAAATGGAGGTCAGACTGGGACCTGCCTGAGTAGTTTTCCAGAAAGTAATGGAAAAGAGTTGGTGTAGTGTTGGTTTAGTATTCCTTTGAGCTGGCTCACTACGGTTTAGAATTGGTTTAGTATTAGTTCAGTATTCTTTTTAGTTGACTCACTACAGTTTAGACTTGGTTTAGTATTGGTTCTTCTTCTTGGCAGGCTGCCCTGGCCATTTTTTTCACAATTCCCTACCCTTAAACAAACTGCATTATTGCCTTCCTGGGGGTTCCGTGTGCCACCCCCTTGAAAATTTGTCAGGGTGCATCTTCTAGTAAAGGGATTGATAAGGAATTTTGTGGTTTGGGACAGGAAGCAATCCAGAGATTCTGGACATTTCTGGCTTTACCTGAGAACAGCAGGGCTTTCTTCTTGGCAGGCTGCCCTGGCCATTTTTTTCACAATTCCCTACCCTTAAACAAACTGCATTATTGCCTGCCTGGGGGTTCCGTGTGCCACCCCCTTGAAGATTTGTCAGGGTGCATCTTCTAGTAAAGGGATTGATAAGGAATTGGGTTGTTTGGGACAGGAAGCAATCCAGAAATTCGGGACATTTCTGGCTGGACTCAAACGTTTCAACCCTCAAAAATAGTCCATTCTTGGAAGGGAGCATATTTTCGGGATTTCGGGCAGATTTTTTCTGTAATACCTACCCTTTTTGCTTTTCAGGAGAGTGAATAATTTTGAGATTTGTTTCTGCATTCACTCCCCTTTTATTTATCGCTATCTAACATTACATTGAACCTGTAGATCCTTCGAGACAACAACACTGCATTTAGCATGTTGAAGAGGCAAGAGAAGAAGAGAAGACGTTGTCTCCTGCCGCAGCTGAACCCGCAGAGGGAACAGACAGGCACGTCAAGATGCCAAAGCGGCCGCCAGGCGTGTGCATAACAAACTGTGGTCTCACTGCAATTGAGCCAGGACTGTCTAATAAGATTCCATCTCGTGATGGCACCACGAAATTTGCACTGCAGAGACGCGAAGGGAGCGCCGGATTGTAATGCTGTCAAGAACCGACTAAAACTCAAGTGGAACCGACTCAAAAGGCTTATATTTAAGGAAGCTGCGAACGTCATCACAGACCGTAGGGCTGTGAGGATCAAGAACCATATCACTATGAGGAGCAAAGCAAAAGGGACGCCTTCGGGCAAGAACCGCGGGCGCAGAAGTCTTGCAACGCAGTCTAGTCTGAAGCGTGAAAACCACATCTTCAAAAGTGACATATATTTTGCTAGGGTGCTTGCCACTTGCAATGTACTCGTCATTAATACTGCAATGTACTCGTCTTTAAGTGGGTCCTGGTCATGGTGTGGGTATATGTTCCACTAAAATCGCACTTTGATGTGATTATGCATGTTAATAGGGCACCTCAAAAGGGTGTCTTTGCCTGAACGACGTCCACTTTTTCATTAGTTCGGGTCCCCTCTGAAAACGCAGACGCATCTTCAACCACCACCTGAATGATGTCCACCAAAGGGTCCCCTATTAGAATTCAGACGCATCTCACTTGGACGATGCAAAGAGCCAATGCCTAGGTGATGATGGCTGAGAAGCTCCCCAGCGCGGTGGTCCAGCGCTTCAACGAGCGCCCTTGCCTGGGAGATCGATCGATCTGTGTCCAGAGTTGGCTTTCCCAGTTTTTTTGTTTTTGTTCAATCGTTTTTGTCCACTTCTTCGTCGTTTTCCGGCGGAGCCTCCATTTCGGGAATCCCGCTTTTTGGGGGTTCCATGTTGAACTTCAGGGGAAGGGGTGCGTCTTGGTTTTGGGGAGCCCTTTTGGGTTGGTCTGAAGGGAATCCAAACGGGAAGTAGCATCTTTGGGGGGGGGGGGTCCCATAATTAATGTTAAGACACCCCCCATATGGCAAGGGAAACTAGGCGTAATCTCGTTCGAACAGATTATCATTGTCTCTTCGAGAAAACGGCTCTGAATCTATTGGAAAGGCCACTCTATTCGGCCGCAATGATCATTTCCTGGTTTCAACACAAGGAAACCATCTCATATCGACTCTGAGAGGCCCAGCTGTTTCCCCCCCAAAAAAAAAGAAGAAAAGCAAACAAAGCACAACATAAAATAAGAACAACAAATCACGCGTGTTACCCGAGTCTTGGCGTTTGCGTAACTGTTGGGGTGTTTCCAAAAGCCGAGGGAAAGCAACTTCTGTTCGGTGCTTGTTCGGGTGGTCCGTCCAAAGCGAGCGATCCTTGGGGTCGAAGGCTCAGCGGCCTAGAGGCGGACATCCGATCCGCTTAGGTGCCTCATAACGGGTGCGCCAACGCCGGAGGACGACCAGAAGGCCTGCTGGTTGGGTTGTGTCAACACCTGGAGTCACACGAGTTGTTCTTCGCGTGGTCAATTCCGGCGGGATTTGTTTTTCAGAGGGAGGGATGGTTGTGATACCAAAGGAATTTTCTTGGAAGGGATAAAAAGTGTCGTAGAAACCAGCTACAGCCACTTTGGAAGATGGATCAGAGTTAGAATCATGCAAGTCTGGGACTGCGCGGGTTAGAGTTTTTGGCTACATTCTGTTTTATGCCGACTCTTTGTGCCATTCGAGTAGGGTCTACCCCCCCCACTTATCAAGATACCAGAGTTTGCCTCAACTCGCCCCAGCATGATTTATCCAGTCACAGAGTTTCATCAGTCCTAGATGGTACGGCAATTTGTCCATCACAGAATTGCACTGCGTTCAAAGTCAATTCGCAAGACCCTTAGATGGGTTACGTTCTTTGCCTTGTTGTATTAGTTTCCTACGGATCAGGATTAGGGCTGCCAATCCAGCAGTGGGCCCACCCAAGGATTAAGACCACCCAACTCTTCCATGTCCTCTTGGGGAAACAAGTAATCGCGTCCGGCTCATGTATTTTATGGATGGATTTGTGCGAGCCCCTCATTCGACACATTCACAAAGCTGGGGCCTTGTTGGTCGTTTTGTGCAGGACATTCTCAGCCGTCATTGGAAGTGCAGCCTGTTGCAACTCCTCAGTTTTTTGCTGGTACAGTCATTTCCCACAGTGGTTCAGCTTTGACAAACTCGAAGTGCAGAAAGCCTTTGGCACTTTCCTTTTAGAGGGACCCCCGAACGTCAGGTTTCGGCTGTTGATTGGTGGGAGGGTAGTTAGTAAGTGGTTAGCCAGCCTGAATAATTAACAAAAGCCATGTTTATAAGTCTCCTAAGTGGCGTACTTTAAGTACAATGACCCTTCAGCACAATGCCACCCCATTTGGCCTCTCAAAGGGTGATCCACCCAACATGGCCTTGTTTTCTTCAACTCCCTTGTGCCTCAGCAGCCTCCAGATCCAATCTTGTACTACGGATGCTACAACCCGAAATCGCACCCCGAAATGAAGACATGGAATTAAAACCATAACGTTTGTATCAGGGTGGTGCAGGATTTCGTCCATGCACAGTAGGGGACCCCCAAAATGGATGGTTTCCCATTGGTTTCCGGACCGATTCCCCTTTTACGTCAGGTTCCGGCTGTGAAAAGGGTGGGAGGGTACCCTAAGCCCGGTGAAAACCCGCTTACAATCGTTATGAGTCTCCGTTCAGTAGGTTATGACCAGGCTCACGATCGCCACTTTCCTGAGCTATCGAATCGATCGCCCCTTTAAGTAGGGACAGGAAAACCAGGTTGGTCGTTAAAATGTTAGGAAACCAGGCCGGTTGTTGGAAAAACCTGGTTCCGGCTGTGAACAGTGAAAAGGCGTTTGTCGGGTACCCTTCTTGACTGCTATTGGGTTGGATCTTTAGACTTTACCTTTTTGGTTGAAATCAAGAGGTTCTACACTAAAGCCCCAAAAAGTTAAACACTTTTTGCAGGAGGGTCAACAGCAACCAAGCTGAACTGCTAGACTTGTTCCACTAAATCCCCACTTAACTGCTAACATTTAAGTTCTTGCTCCCCTTCCAACGTCAACCAAGACTAAGCCCACAAGGCATTACGGGCTTAAGGGATAGCCCCTCCCCACAGCCCCTGGTTGGTTGGCTGGTTGGTTGTTCGTTTGTAGGACAAATCCCAGAAAGAGCCCCTTGGCTGGTTGTCTGTCTGTTTCTTCCGGGCTGGTTTGCCTTTTTCTCCCTCCCCTCCCCCCCTCCCTTCCCCTCCCTACCCCTCCCTCCCCTCCCCTTCCCCTCCCCTTCCCCTCCCTCGCCCCCCTCCCCCCCCCTCCCCCCCTCCCCATAGCCCCAAGTTTAAGTAGACCCGATTCTCATTTCCACGCCATCAGGTCATCGCGGACACCATGTTCGCCTGGGCCCGGGAGCTGGGCGCCATCGACTTCGCGCACTGGCGCCCACGGCTGCATTGTCGGTCACGGGACGGCGAGAAACCCCCGTTTGGGCTGGGGTCTTTTTTTGCACGTCTGGCGATTTTTAAGGATGTTTAGGGTTTTTAGGGATTCTTTCGGGATCTTTGGGGATGTTTTTGAGGATTTCTAGGAGTTTTGACGAGATGTTTAAGAATTTTGAGGGAGTTTTCAGGATTTTAGGGCATACATTGACACAATCTGAACTTCAGGTCTTTTTTCGATAAGCGTAGGTGCGAAAATACAAAACCCTCCCACACCCCCCCAAATGGTGGTTCCCCCCTCTTGGTTTCACTTTAGCCCCGCCTGAGAAGGACACGAGGGTTGCACTGATCACAAAGTTATGCCGGGTGGAGGGGAGCAAGATAAGCCCTCGGGATAGCGCATTATAGTAGTCGCTGCATATACATACATCTATGCTCATATGCACAGGTACTCATAAACTCATATCCCTCCTTTCTACATACATACATGCATGCATACATACATTACATTACATTACATTACATTACCTTACCTTACCTTACCTTACCTTACCTTACCTTACCTTACCTTACCTTACCTTACCTTACCTTACCTTACCTTACCATACATACATACATACATACATACATACATACATACATACATACATACATACATACATACATACATACATACATACATACATACATACATACATACATACATACATGCTTTATGTATACATATACATGTAAACATGACACAAACCCGCACACCCATACGCACATACGCGAAGGAGTCCATTTTATCTAGGGTCCTTTGGTGGACATCAGAGACATGTGGATTTGTGTCTACCAATAATGTTTGAGGGGCTTCCTACTCAGATGCACTGCCATATATAAACAATATGTCTGTAGACATTATGTTTGTAGACAGTATGTACACACACAGCTGAGCAGAAACCATGAACGACACAGAACCATGCAAATCATCACACGACCAGCAGTTATCTAAGCACAGAAGCCAGAACCTGATTGAGGCCATTAAACAGCTTCCTTTGCCGTACGCACAGTTGGCATTGAATATGTTATGACATAAGGACTGACAGAATCGGATTAAAGCACCAGTTGGGATTGGTGGTTTATGAACCAGTACTTCACTGTTCTTGGATCAAGTTGTGTGTTTGTTTTGTTTTGGTTCTTTTCATTTTTTAGGGCAAGCCCAGAAAGGTTTATGAACCAGTATTCAACAAAAGGGGTTCACCCACCCCAAGTGATGCCAATCGGCAAAATCGG